GCAGACAGACAGACATACACATTCACACCTAGGGGCAATTTAGCAAGTCCAATTGGCCTGACTGTATGTCTTTGGACTGTGGGAGGAAACCCAAGCAGACACGGGGAGAACAGGCAAACTCCACACAGAAATGACCCTGGTCACCCAGCCGAGAATCGAACCCAGGCCATTGCAAATAATAAATAAATATATAATATTTTTATTATTAAAATTATTATTATACTATTTATATATAAATATATACATAGTATAATAATAAAATACACATACCCACCTATTACCCACCAATAGCCTACTCTGCCAATTCATGGTGAAGTTATAAGGAGTGTTTCAGCCCTGGCTGCTTACTGAATAAGGCACAGTACATGGCAGCCAGTCAGAGCAGAGCTAATTGACATAGAGCAGTACTAAAGGCACAGTAACAGAAACAGCCTGTTTAATTCTAAGGGATATAGAGAGGTTGGCAAATGGTCATATGGTACATAAAACCACACAAATGTTGTAAGTGGACCTCAATGGAAAAAATAAAATAGAAGAAAAACACTGGATATGGGCCCTTTAAGGTCATTCACTGGTTAGTAAGCTGAGAGTTCAGGACGTTAGTGCTTGGTCCTCAACTATTGGCCTTTTGCTGCTTGATTATGGCAGCAATTGTGAGTCAAAGCTGATTTATATGGTGATTTATATATGGGAAAGAAGCTCAGTGATCATACACAGGCCTTACCATGGAGTGTTCCTTCCTTGTACGCCACAAGATGTCTCCCTCTACATGCTGAATATCTGTTACTCGCAGTGTGTGGGCGGCACTAGCGCAGCAGCTCTGGCTGTGCTGGAATGTTGAGCAGTCTGCTGGAAACGTGGCTGGCAGGTAAACTGCAACAGAGGCTTTACAGTCATCCTACACTGAAATATGGACATGATATTTAAACAAGGCAGACATTTTCTCTATGAGACACAACATTTTAAACTATAAACTGTATCAGTGTGTGTCTGTGCATGCGTTTGGTTGTGTACATTTTTAGGACACATTTTAAGAACTTACAAGTAAATCAGAGAAAAACACAACTAACCTACAATATCAGGACTCACAATGTTCATCACATGCAGCGATTTTTTTTACGAAATTTACATGTTTTTGGTTACTGCGGTTAAGCTTAGGGATAGGTTTAATGTTAGGCATGTTAGGCTTCTTATTACATAAATAGCACTGTGCAAAAGTAAGTGACCACCATTTTGTTTATTTAATTTCCTGTCAAAATGACCATCAAGTATTTTCAGTGTCAGAAAACAAGTAGGAATAAACAAAAGCCTCCAACATTAAGTATAATATCAATTCTATCAGTATTTAATTTGTCCACTCTTTATGTTTGTGCACCTACTGCCACTTTAATTCTTCAATCCTTCTAAACTTAAAGGTGCCATAGAATGGAAAACTGCACTTATATTGGAATAGATGAATAAGGAGAGTTTTGTACTAGGAACTGACATTCTGTGAACCTCAAACCGTGTTGTCTCCTTCAAATACAAATCCCACTAATCCCTTAAACGAGGGCCAATTCCAAAATCCTAAATTGTTACATAACAGTCTTGACTCATTGATATTTACGCCCTCAAAATTTACAAACATCAACCCAGGTTCTAGCCCAGCAGGTATTGTGAAGAATGAAACAAGGACAGCAGAGCATCAGCAATAAAAATGGCAGACTATGTGCAGAAATGTACCATTCCAGGCTGTGAGGGGGATGCTGGCACTTTTCATACCTTTCCCAAGGAACCGAACAGTCAACAGCCATGGCTGATGTTTGTCTTTAAACGAGGCTAAAGTTGGCTTCCTATTCGCCAGCTTCTTAATCAAATGTTCCATTCCACCATTCCAGCTTGTACAGGAGCCAGAATGCAGCACCATTTACAGTGAAAATTCTCAAAACTAGCTGGCAAATAGGAAGCATAACTTCAGCTCCCACATCTTTAAAAGGATTTTTTAAAAGTTTGTAAAGATTTAATTCGAAGTGGTCAGTTTGCTCTGCACATTTCACTCTGGACAGTTTCTTAAACCTTGAACAATACCAAGCAACTTTGCACAGCATTTGACACTGCAGAGACTGAAAAGAGGGACAGTTCCAACTTTACTAGCATCATAACCTCAACAGCAACCTGTAACTACCAGCCATGCCGTGTGATTTTATCCACTTTTTGGCCGTTAAAGCCAGATTATCTTGAATTGAAGATTTCATAGTGAGCAAACTATGTGTTGTTATCAAGATCGAAAGTAAGTAGCTAGTATAGGTAGCGTTAGCTACTAGCAAGCTCCAAGTATCTACCATAGCAAACTTAATAGTATGATGACCTAGCTTATTTACATGGAGATTCGTTTAATTTTCCTGTCTGTGTCTATTTCGACATGTTGCTTCTGTGTGAGCCATCGCAGTGCCTCGCTGTAAACCAGCAAATCAGAGAAGGGCTCATCAAATTATTCATGAGCCCACCAAAAAAGGAAAAAACAGCTTTTTTAATTCTAGGGCCAAATCATAGGGTTGTAAGCGTGTAAAATCACGTCTGGGCATTTTTCACACCGACCAAAGACACATACCTTCTATATAGACATCAGAGAACAATTTAAAATACTGAATAAATGCATTCTACGGCTTTAAAACCAACGGGTTACAGCTGTGTCCGCCCAACAAAATCAGTTCCCAAGTCACTGACATTACGTTCCCCTTCAAAGAGACACTAACATTCACACAAGCAACTACCCAAACACACCATAGCTGCCTCGCAAATCTAGAATGTCTATAGGCAACATTAATGCTGAACGATATATACAGGTTTTGGCAACATGTGCTGCCATCCAGATGACGTCTTTTTCAGGGAAGGCCTTGATTATTTCAGCAAGACAATGCTATTCTGCATGCATTACAGCATCATGGCTCCATAGTAAAAGAGTCCGGGTGGAAGACGTTGCTGGCATTAAATTTAAAATGGGCATATGTTTTTTAAAAAACAATAAAATTTCTCAGTTTCAACATCGGATGTGTTGCCTTTGTACTATTTTCATCATTACATTCTGTTTTTATTTACATTTTGCTCAGCATCTCAACTTTTTTGAAAACAGGTTTGTATAACAATTATGCAAGTCCTGGTAGACCACCAACACTGTCAACATCAGATAAACAGTAGCTTTTATCTTTGAGAGACGGGGGGAAATCATTTGTAATTAATGGTTCCTGACTGGAAATTAAATATATGAAAGGGTGGTCTATGACTTTCAGACAAACTCCCTATTAATATCTTTGATTTCAGAAGAAACGTTGGATAAGCAAGTGTCTTAAATCTTTGGACATAAAGTGTATGTACGACCCCACGTCCTCAAATTGTAGAGCAACAAATGTGTGTGTGTGTGTGTGTGTGGGTGTGTGTGTTGCACTGTCACTGCTCTTAGATAAAAGCATTCATGCAGCAGTCTTGTCGGAGCGTTAGGGATGGGAGAGTAAGCAGCTTAAGCAAGTCATTCATAAATAAAGTCACTAAAATAGCAAGAAAGTTTTGAAGTTCACTTTAACAAAGACCAGAAATTTCAAACATTCAAGGGGCAGCAGGGTTTTTTGCACGCAGATAAAGCCTAGTGCTAAACAAAAGGGATTCAACTGTGAATCCCAACAGGCTAAGCTTAATCTGTGTCTATGCTTTTGTGGTTTAGACTTTAATGTAGACATAAAATAATACTATGTTTAATTGACCATCTTACTACCAAGCAGAAAACATTATACTGATGCACTATATGGCCAGCTGTATGTGGACACCTGACCATCACATCACACCTCTATAAGCTTGTTGGACATCCCATTCCAAAACCATGGGCATTAATACGGAGTTAACACTACCCCCACCCCCCTCCCCCCACACACACTTTGTGGCTATAACAGATTCCATTGTTCTGGGAAAGTTTTCCAGCTTTTGGTGTGTGATTGTCATTTGTGCCCATTCAGTCAAAAGAGCATTTGTGAGGTCAGGCAGTGATGACGAGAAGGCCTGGCTCACGATCTACATTGTAATTTATCCCAAAGGTGTTCAGATCAGCAGGGTTGAGTTCAGGGCTCTGCGCAGACCACACCAAACTCATCAAACCATTTATAGAGCTCACTTTGTGTACAGGGGCACCGTTATGCTGGAACAGGACAGGGCCTTCCCCAAACTGTTGCCAAGTCCTGAAAAACAACCCCAGACTATTATCCCCCGAGACCAAACTTTACTGTTGGCACTCTACAAAACCGCCAAAGCCAGATTCTTCGATCAGACTGCCAGATAGTGAAGCATTTCCACTACTCCGGAGTCCCCTGTGTGCTTTACACCACTTTATCCAACGCTTGGCAGTGCGCATAGTGATCTTAGTCTTGTGTGCAGCTGTTCTGCCATGGAAATCCATTTCATGAAGCTCCCGATACACAGTTTTTGGGCCAGTTTGGAACTCTGTAGTGAGTGACGCCACAGAGGATGGTGATTTCTATGCGTTACATTCTTCAGCACTTGAGTTGTTCAGTTCTGTGAGTTTGTGTGGTCTACTGCTTCATGGCTGAGCTGTTGTTGCTCCTTGATGCTTCCATTTCACAATAATAGCGCTTACAGTTGACTAGGGCAGATCTAGCAGGGCAGTAATCTCACAAACTGGCATCTGGCATCTTTGGACAGTGCTATGTTTAAATAATGATAATAATAATAATAATAAATAATAATCTTTTCTTATTATTTGATAATAATAATAATCATTTGTGCCCTTAAAGTCTCTGAGCTTTTGTGTACGACTCATTCCACTGACAACATTTGTCTATGGAGACTGCATGTCTATGTGCTTGATTTGATTCACATGTTAGTGATGGATTTTGCTGAAACACCTGGACTCAATCATTAGGAGGGGTGTCCACATACTTTTGGCCATATAGTGTGCATGCTGTAAACCCTATATGAACCACACAAGTACTGCTTCTTTTCATAAGCACCTTTTCTCAATATTTTTAAAGATTTTTTATTAATGTTGGGAAATAAAATTGAATTTTCCCATCTATAAATACAATCCTATTGACAGTGCTCTATGTACCTTTATCCATCAGCATATACAGCTCATAATAACACATTACATAATGTCAAACTGTTAAGTTGAGCACACTGCATTTGGTAATTCAACAAAAAGAGACAAGAGAATCCTCATCAAATGAAATATTAAGTGCTGAAAAATGTATAGACTAAGGCCGATACAGTCCAAAAGCATTAGAATTGGTCTGAAGAGAACTAGAAGGGGTACATCCACTAAACCACATTAGTCCATAGATCAGTCCAGAGTTGGAATACCTGATAAATACACTGAGGTGGCATAAAGACTCGCTCTAATATTGCTCATTGTACATTACAGGCCAATATGCCACACCTGCATCTATGTGTTTGGTGACCTCCTAAAGTGTTTTTTTGTTGGTTTTTTGTTGTTGTCAGGAAGTCAGTGGTAGAATATCCTGAAGCTTTGACTGAATGTTGAGGCAGTTTCCTTGAAGGTGACGAGGCAAGCCAACAGGGTCTGGCTACAATATATGGCTCGGAACATCCTGTCGCGATGCGTGACGGACGATCCAGTGATTGTGATTGATTTGAGTGTCCTCAGCAGCATAGTAGATGTCCTTTAATGCCAATTGACCAGGCACATGTAACCAGCACCTTTGAAAGGAAGAGCCTACATGCAGCCATGTTCGTCTTTGTAGGCCGCCTACTTTCACTAGGATTACTACCTGTGTTTAAGTCTACAAATAAGGAAAACAAACAGTAAGAAAAAAGAATAAGAGTAGTACATGGGCGATATCACCTAAGTAGGTAGCAGTGGCACTGAAGAAATATTACCCACCTAAAAAGTACAAATTCAAGTGCAACCGAATGCTTATCACACCGTTTAAGTAAATATATAATAACCAGTCCTCCAGTCAGGAAGGCTTTGAATGAATGTACGCCAGACTGGAATGGTCTGGGCTCAGAAGCTGTGCATGTTGTTCTTGTCGCTGTGCACCTCGAAGTCCGTGTTTTGAGGCAGAGGTGAAAGTGAAGTGTTCTAGCTGTCCTCTATGAGTTTGGCCAGGTTGTCCCTCAGCTCCGTCAGCTCAAAGATCTTGCCGTCCAGAATCTCCAGCAGTGTTTTGAGACTCTTACGGAAGTTCTCCTGCTCCACCTGGCTGGCCTCCAGGCGCTGCTCCACGTCTGCTAATTGCTCCTCCAGCTCCTTGTTCCGTGAGTCTGTAGCCTGGAAGGAGTCAGTAGTACAGCTGTAAATCTCTGACCTCGATTATGATTCTTTAGGAAACTTTAGCATTTCTTTAGCACCGAAAGCACCAAGAACTCTCAAATTTGATTCATATTAAAATTCTATTTGATTTGATGATACGATTCAGTATTACGTTTAAAAATACCCTGAATACACGTGTGACTGGATGAACTATTTAAAAAGCAGTGAAATTGTGATGTTTTAATGCATTATAAGGCCCTCATACTGCCCCATTTCTAAACCCCGCCTCTGCCTTCGCTACAATCTTAAAAAAGATGGTTCTTCAAGGGTTCTTTAGTAAAGAAAATGGTTCTAAAAACTCTAAGTACCCTTTGCATGATTAAAGGGGTGTTCACATCATGAAAGTGTTCTTCAGATTGATAGAGAATGTGCTGTAGATGGTTCTGTATAGAACCTTTTTGAAAAGGGTTCTATAAAGCACCAAAAAGTGTTCTTCTAATGTTACGATGTCAAGCCTGTAACAATAGAAGAACAATTTTGGTGCTATATAGAACCCTTTTCAAAAAGGTTCTATACAGAACCACGTAAAACACTCTCCATCAATCTGAAGAACGCTTTCATGATGCAAATGGTTCTTTGAGTGTTCATGGTTCTATACAATTTTATTTACTAAAGAACCCTTGAAGAACCATCTTTTTTAAGAGTGTACCCGGCATGTGGTCTCTGTGTGACAGACTGAACAGGCTGAGATGAAACAGAGTAGATATAAAAAACATCTGCCACTGTATCATTAATAATCCGACAGATTCACTCCAGTACCAGTCACTTGATTTCACTCACTCAGATTTGAGTCTTTATCTTTCATATTTATCTTTATCTTAACTTGCCTCAGTGCAGCAGCACTTACCTCCAGTTTCTGTTCCAGCAATTCTTTCTGTGACTGCAGCTGCTTAGCGTTTTCCACTTCCTCCCTCAGACGCTCCATTTCCTGTGAGGAGGGGGGAAAGTCCATTACAGTTCATTAGAGAGGACGAAACAAGTGGTAAAAAATCAAGGTGTAATATAGCACTTAGGCTGGTACCTCTTCTTTAGCCTTCAGTGTAGCCTCCAGCTGCTCGATAGTTTGGTTGAGCTCTGTTTTCTGAGACTTGATCACATTGGCTTGACTGCTTTGGCTCTCCAGTTCTGACACCTGAAGGTCCAAACATCACAATCAGTATTACAGATCAGCGTCAGATCTATTACCACCGACAGTTTAAATTCCACCAACTTTCTCTCACTCCGGGCACACTTTCCACATCATACTTGGTTATTACTGCACTTGTAAGGTTACAGCTGCAACCACATTTACAAACATTTACTTTTACTTTCTAAAACTCAAGGCTTTCACTTTCAGAAATACGACGATAATAGAAACTACACTGAAAAAAGTGATGAATTGAATGCAGTTATTGTAAGACAGTAAATTGAAAGTTATGTTGTAAACTTCAGTTTATTTACATTTGTCAATAACTGTGTAGATGTAATATGTTTTATTGATGTGGAAATAATGTACACATTTTAGAGTGTTTCTGCAACTACAAGCACTTTTAGGTGGATTTTTGGATACAGTCATATGCAAAAGTGTGGACACTCCTGGTCAGATTACATGTTTTGTTGACTTTCTAAGTGAAAATAAGTTAAAACCTCCTCTACAGAGAACACACTTCTGCATGTTTTAATGCACAATTACTGTTTATCTGCTGAATTTAACATATTCGGGGAAAATATATGTGTATATATAAAATGTGGCCTGTGCAAAAAGTTATGGCACATTGTATGTTTTATTTTGTTCCAGTATGTTGAACTGTGCTCTACAATTAGCAGATAAACATCCTATTTAGTTATTCTGTGCACTTTAAAGGATGTGTTAACTTATTTTCACTTAGTAAATCAACATGTAATTTGTCCAGCGGTGCCCAAACTTTGTATCATAGCGTGTGTGTTAACATTTCAAACATGAAGCATAATAAATACTGTAATATGGGCCTTGACATATTTTCAAAAACAATATTGTTCTCAATGTAATAGGTTAACGTAATTTACAAATATTTTTGGTCAAAATAGCAGATTTATTCATGCCCCACAACTGCAAATGACAAAATGATCTCTTTTCAATTTAACCTACAATGTATATGTAATAAATAAAAATACATTTAATTAAAAACTGTTGTTGATCAGTCACTTATGCATTTATTTTTTATGATAAAAATATATATGTCCCACTTTTCATGTGACCAAATTACTTAAAATAAAGTTTATTCAAAGCCAAAAAAAACTATTTTTGATGGAAAGGTAAGTTTGCCAGCAAGCGCATGGACAAAAGTATATATAGTGTATAGTGTAGGGCGCAATTTAAACAGCATGCTCTTTTTTTGCGTGTCGCAGAAAGAGCTTTTCTCAGAAGCTGCAGGAGGAGGGCGTAAAACTGCCCTTCTATGACTGTCATCAGGAACGTAAGTCAGATCTGTCTGTATGTGTCCAGTGTAATCGCACTATCAGGCTGACTCTTAACATTTCACTGAACCGTCTTATCTTGTCATCACTCTGCTTCTTCTCACCCTTTTATGAAGCCTCTCAGCCTCCTCCTGATAAGCAGCCAGCTGCTGTTTCCATTGCTTTACGTTGGCTGTGGACTCCAGCAGTGCTGCCGTCAGCTTAGCATTGTTGCTCTTCAGCGCTGCTAGCTCTGCTTCCCAGTGCTTGTTGGTGGTCGGGCTGGACAACAAACAACAAAAAGACACAGTACATCAGTGCTAGCTCACGTTAATGACAGCCACTAGTCAGATACCATTATTGTAGTTTTTAAGGCTGCTTAAAATTTGCTATGAATAATCAACGCTGGCATTTGAGAGGGGGGTTGGGGGCCTGGGGGGTCATGCATTTGAAATATGAGTTTTTTGTCCTCATGAAACAGATTTTCCAATACCATTAACCATTTTATATTTTTTACCAAGATGTATAAGAATTATAGCCCTAACACATTAAGCCTGTGACAGAAGGGCTGCCTCAGCTCCTTTAGAGGGAATTCCACTGATTTTGAAACAAATCAAGTGGTGGTTACAGGAACCAGTCAACACCAATGTAAAGAAATCAGAGGGAGTTTTTCTACAATGAACCATTTCACACCAAACCACTATGAATGACTTTGTTTACATCTTAATGATTGAATTAGGCAGAAATCAGTGGAATTCCCTTTAAAATTTAAATGACATAATTTACTCATTTATGTCCGAATATGTTTGGTTGATTTTCTAGGAGAAAATAAGTTCATACTCTACAGGTAAAAAACTTTTTCTGCAAATCTTCGTGCACCACTTTATTTACTGTGTTTAACATATTGGGAGAAAAGAAACATAAAATACAAAATATGTCATAACGTCTCATCAGAGCCCACATTTTGTTTTATTCTTTCTTCAATATGTTAAATTCAACAAATTAGACAAAAAAAAGCAACAGTAATTGTGCACTAAAATGTGCAGAAGTGTGTTTCCTGTAGAGGATGTGTTATTTTCACTTAGAAAATCAACAAAACATGTCATTTAAACAGAGGAGTTCAAACTTGTGCATACAACTGTATATCTATCTATTCTACTAGCAAAAACATGATAATGGACCTTGAATTCATATATTTAAGCTTTAAAAACACTTATTAGCAGATTTCTGTCTCTAATACAAGGCACTGAATATTGTGGCACTCTTATGGAATACAGGAATACAGATTGCATTCATTCATTCATTCATCTTCTAAACTGCTTATCCTCCTGGGTCACGATGGGTGCTGGAGCCTATGTCAGCGGTCACTGGATGGAAGGCAGGAAACACCCTGGACTGGTCGCCAGTCCATCATAGAGCAGACACAGACATACACATTCACACACACGCTCATACCTAGAGCCAATTTAGTATCTCCAGTTTGCCTGACTGCATGTCTTTGGCCTGTGGGAGGAAACCCACGCAGACACGGGGAGAACATGCAAACTCCTAATAGTAATTAGTAAAACAGTAAATAGTAAAATAGGGCCAACAGTAATACTACAGGAATTACTGCAGGAATGTCTTCAGTATTCTACAAGTGAATTCAGAAAGTTACTACAGTTTACTACAGGAAACTACACAAGTATTATAGAAAAATATAAGACAGTACAACAGAAACACTACAGGAGGCTGAAATGTATTATCATAGCAGTATTATACAGCACTACCAAAATCTCTCTAATCTATTCTATTTTCTAATAGTGTCACTACAGATCTACAGTGAAATGGTGTAAAGAAATAAAAAACAAAAAAACGAAATTTTCATAGGACAGTGACCACAAGCAATTTAGCAATAAACAGTATAAACAAATTGAAATCACGCCTGAGGCGACTTCAAACACGGTATGTTCATTTTGCAATCATAGCTCAGTTTTTGACACCACAGCAGAAAATGTAGACCACTCATTAACACCGCCTCAGGCCAGATAAGGATTTATCCCTTACAAGCTAAAACTTCCTTCTACTTGAGATCATATATTTATCTGAAAAGAGAAAAAACAGCAGTGAGAGTCATAGTTACTCTCCCAGCCCTGAAGCACAAAGAGGCCAGAAAGAGGCTACTTGAGGCCGCATGTAATTACAATGCCATTCTGGGTGACTGAGAGAGCTGTTTAATTTGAGCTGTCTGTCAAAGACGCTGTGTGCTTTTAGCTACTAGAGCACTTTCAAGAGCATCACAATTAGAGGAGCTGTCTAACAAATCCTGTTGACTGGAAATCCACAGATTCTACAAATTCTGACGCAATGACTCCATACATGCTTTACTGAATTTAATGTGTCAATATTTCAGATTTAAAACTGGTCCTGGACTCCAAACATGTCAAAGACTCTTACATGGTTATATCTGGGGTAAGTGGAAAACTGGGTAGATTTTTCGCTGAACTATTCCTTCAATTAAAGAAACTAGAGAAGAAAACTTTAAACAACAAACATGTCTTGGTGGAATGACTACGCTTAGGGTAAGGGGGAAATTCTATACATTTGATATTAAGCCAGAATATTCCTTTAAAGAAACCTAAGCCTTCCATGCAGTGAAACATAAGATGAGTGGGCCATGGGTTTTAATGTATGTGCAGAAGTATTGAGATGCTGCCACTGAAGTGGATTACAGCCCACAGAAACCCCCTCTCATCCTCGTCCTCATCCTCCACCGTGTGTGAGTGGTTTCTTGTGTTGCGTTTTTCCCCCAGCTTGTCTCCTTTTCCCTTCTCCTCTCAGCCACCCACCAGCCAGAGCGTAAGGCAGGCCGCCTCTAAAGACTCCAGCACGCTGAACGCCCACGCTGCAGCCCACAAGGAATCATGCTAATTCCCTTTCATCTCCCACCACATCGCCACCTCTGTGCTGACGTCAGCGCCACCTCTCTCTGTCACCCGCCACTACAACTGACAGCAGATCCTCAGCCCACACTCCAACACCTACTGAAGCCACGAGCTTATAAAGCTTCCTCACACGGGAAGGCAAGACAGACCAGACCAGACTCAGCGAGACTCAGAGAGAGAGAGAGAGAGAGAGAGAGATAGAGAGGGAGAGAGAGAGAGAGAGAGACAGAGAGAGAGAGAGAGAGAGAGACAGAGAGAGAGAGAGAGAGAGAGAGAGACCTATAATGGAAATGGAGAAGAAAATTTAGAAGGACCTCAACTTTGGTAAGCTATTCACTTTTTCCAAAAATTGTCTAAATGTCTTGATTAATGCCTCTTCTTTGTTTTTTAGAGATTGTTTAATAGCCTTCATTCAGCGATTCAGTCTAATTGATGACAGTGCAAGTCAACAACATCATTTATTTATTTAGGTATGGAAATGTACGATCCTTGGTATTTATTGATCAACTGCAGTTGTGTTCAAGTTTGAGATTCTGTTGTTTTGCTTGTATTCACAGTTAACCACGATTAATAATCAAGGCTGTAATGTGCTAATGATTAATAATCGTACTTCTAATATGCAAACATTTAATTTAATCCATTTTGGTTCCTCATCATGAAGACAGTTAAAAGATAGCCAGAAAAAGGGGTCAGTGGTGAGCTAGTGGTTGTGTGACTGCCAGGATTTGATACAAAAACATCCATTTTATATCATTATCATTGCATTAATCCTATGTAATAAAATGGACATGGACATGAAGCTCTTTGAGCACAACTCCTGGTCCACATGTGTATTAACTTAGGATAGTATTCACTTTTTATTAAGTCACATGACTACAACTTTACCAACTTCTTGAAAAACGTTGGCATATTTCTTTAAAATGAACTGTGTTATGCTTCATTGATGATACAGGGACAATTTGTTATTTTTCTGCATAGCTATGCCCAATTTGAAAGCAGCACAATGTTGCTAGTAGGGTAAGTGCCTTGCCCAAGGGCACAACCAGGAATACCCAGTCAGTCCTGGAATTCGAACCCACGACCTTCCGGTTGCTGGCTCACCTCTCCTACTATTACAACTGTAATCCAATTCTTGCAACGAATGTTCATTTAATAATGTACAAATGTCCCAGCAAAATGCTTTGATTGTTCTTAAGATGTACAAATGAAACTGACAAGGCCTTCATTGTTTTCATCTTTGAAAAGTCTGGACATCATTGAACTACATACAGTGTGTTTGAATTTCATATGTAAACCATCCACTTTTGAAATAAACTCTGCATAATCTTTGGCTTGTAATCAATTCTACACCTCATGAATAAGCATATTTAAAGTGTAAAATGAGAGTATGGATGAATACCCATCTACACCAGCTCAGTGAATTCCCTGAAGTGAACCCCTTAATGAATCAATAAACAATCACACTGACCAGTTACATCACTGGCCCTGCCTGTCTGTGCACCATTCTAGCACATTACATAGCCAGGCTTGCACTGCATTCATCCATATCTGTACAAAAGCACAAATACACATGTATAGGCTAATATGACTCCTACTGCATCCAAACCTAAGGAACCACTGCAGTGCTACACTTTGACACGAACAAAGTCTGTTCATCAGTAAACGCCATACATTCCAGCACTGTGACATAACAGGCCGTCAAAGTGAGTCTCATGTGCTTGATGCACACGTAACTGAATTCACCACCCACACAATGAGTGAACAAACTGGAGTCAGTTGCCACTTTATGCTACTGAGCTTGGATTCTTTTATTTGTAAAACAGTGAGTCTCTATTTGTAGATCATTCACCAACAGCTGAGATACAGCGACTCATACAGACTGTCTAATGTTCATGTTTATTTAAACAGACATCAGTCAGTTTTAGCGTCCTTAAGTGCTTCACTTACACTGCATTTGTCTACAATTACAAACCTACTTTGATTTGACAAGTAAGAAGTTGAATTACAACAACCTGAGAAATGAGGGGGATGCAATATTTAATCAATGCAGAAAATAACTCTTCTCAGAAATGTTTATACAAGTGCATAATCATTATTAAAGTACAGCAAGAAACATTCCAACAGTCACAAAGTTACAAGAGGTTTACAAAAACATACCATCCCTGCATAAATGGAAATATGAGCTGCATATCAAAATCAAAATAATGAAATAATTAGTAGTTCAGTCAAAAATGCTAATGTTGTTAACAGCGAATGGAAGCGAATAGTCACCAGTTAGAATAATGAAAATCAAGATAACTGGGGGCTACTTGCTTGCATTCAGGGTTAACTATGTTAGCATGTTTAGTCAAGTTGTTCCTTTAAAATGAACAAAGACAGGCTTAAAGAAAGTCCTTTTAAGTGGCTACAAAACAGTAAAAGGATGCAAAGTTTTCAGTCATCAAAGAGATCAAATACTCAGTAATATGCATATAGAAATGCTGCATTGTGGATATTCCAGCAACGTCAAAAACAGCCTGTGTGCTTCAGCAAAACATGAATGCCAACAACGTGCGCAATGGCTTTTATCAGAAGGAGCAGACCCGACATGCTTTAAACACGTGTCTGAAAAGAAAGACAAAAAAATAAGACATTTAATACCAAAGAAACAGACCTTGGTCATATTGTGGGACCAATGAGGCATTGCTGACTCAACGGTTTGACTCATTACACTGGGTCCTTACGAACAGATGACGCCTACTTCAACCTAATCAACAAAGTCTGCACAGCAGGAGGAATGCATCATTTGACTAGAAAAACACTGCATTACAAAAGCACAGAGGTCCCACTGAGAGCCTGTGCTTCATTTTCAAATCTAAACAGTAAAAATAAAAATCTTAAAGGGGCTGTCAACTCGACAGCAAACAGGGGAAATATCTCAAGTATCACACTAAAGATATGTGAATTAAAGTCCCAGGGAACACAGTGAAAATTATTAAAATGTTTGTATGATGCGAAATTGATGTTTTATAAAATACCTAGCAAAGCTTGACCAAAAACACAAGATAGATACATAATAAAAGACAGCTTCAAGTCCTAATATTCTGAGCACCTGTGAATGACCAGTCTAGCACTCCTGGCCTGCTACACCACTGAAGTAGAGCTAAACACAACAGCAAGTGTGACGTGGAGAAAAATGAGGGTAATGGGCTCTACATGTCATCACTGTCCCAATAAAAGAAGTATCTCCAAAATGGTAACATTACAAGAGAAGGCTAAAGACATTCTTTATTTTTAATGTAAGTTAATGTCATGAGATTTTATCCAAGTCATTTTGGAGCATTTCTTTTGGCTTATTCATCAAGAAATTTGGACATGATGTAAACAACAGCTCCTGCGCTCAAATGATGCATAAAAATAAAAATCTAAAAAAAAAAAATGATTCAGTGTTTTTGGAGAGCGACGATATGTAGGTGGTGTTTTAGACCCCACTGTGTCCAGTCACTTAAAATATTATCCAATGGTGATGTCTTTAAGAAAGTGAGTTTCTTACTTGCTTTACTGCTGAATGCGCATCCAGGGAATGCTGGCGTGGCTGACTGAATTAACAGATGAATGGATAGATGGACAGATGACAACCAAACAGATGAACTAGCTTGATTGCTCAGTTATGTTTGCTGGGTTAGCATTCGCTTGGTTGTTAGCTTTTGGCTGGTAAGTTTCTCCAATAATAGGATGTACTTTGTACATGTATATTGTTATGCGTCCACAAGAGCAACCTATTTAGATAAACATAGATAAACCTACTTCAAAAGAAAATGTGGATTTAGGTTCCCTGGGCCTTTAATGAAAATTAACCAGTTATATTTGAATAGACAGATCCTAAACCCTTGTTACAAACAGGAAAAGTTCAACTGCACTGCCTGAACTGGACTGGGCATTTCAGACAGCGTGGTGATTGACAGTGGTGTAGCCATGGCAACGTATGCACTGACACTCAGCGTATTCTGTAGCTTTTTTCCTGGCAGAAGAGCTTTGAAATTGTGTGAAATATCAGATCATGGATATAAAGTTACATTCAGCCAGCCAACGCAAGTAGTTCATAGCTAAATTATAGTACAGTTGCCAGTTGGCTTTCAAAGGCAAGTAATCGTTCAGCAACTTGGGATTTGCCTTTGGTTTTGGACTCTTTGTAGTATTCTTTGTGTCTTTGGATGCCACAAAAGGTGATGGCATGACAAAAAGAAGAATCAAGGGACGGAGTATTGAATAAAATGAGACTTGAAAAATAACCTGCCAAAAGCTCAACATGACAGCTAGCTAGACTACGTATTAGCAGTCACTGGTTTGTGTTGGGTGGTGTGGCAAGGAGTTGCTGATGAAAAATCCAGCTTAGTTCTGAATGTTGAGAAACACTCTTAATGTCAGCTTCTTCCAGAGCTTCTTCCAGAAGTCTCTAAATGTATCAACTTTGTTCTGACCCTCTAGCTCACTAAAAAACATGGATTAAGGAAATAAGTTTACAGCCCCTTTAAAATTGCTACAGAAAAAATTGGCAAAATGTGGTCTTTAAATAGCTATCTGGCAGACAGCTGCAATGTGGGCGTAGCATGCGGCTAGGGCCACTGTACATTAGTGTCCTCTCATCCCGAGACTGTCAGTGTTTTTCAAGTGGCGGGTGAGAGCCAAAACACATGAAGCTGAGATTATGTAAGGTGCATCGCTGCGCTCTCAGAAAACTGTGTTGGGTTGTCGAACCAAAGCATACCAACACGTGGACCCACATCAAGTGGGCGTCGAGGGCTGTGAAAGCTCCTCTCATAGTCACAATGCCAAGCTGTTAGTTTTCTGTAGTGCTCACTCAAACACTGAGTGCGGGTGCTGGTGCTGTAGTTACCTGTGTGCGAGGGACGGGGTGGTCGGGGACAGATCCGACTGCAGCTCTGAATTCGGCGACGCGTCAGACAAGGTGACGTCATCGCCCGTGCCGTTCACCCGGCAGAGGTCAGAGGTGACGGGAGGGGTCAGAGGTGAGTGAATATCAGCAGGTGATTCCTGTGAACGCATCAGAGTCAGAAAATCAAAGATAGTATTCACTTTTAGAGCAACTAGAGCTGGCTCTCAGTAAACACAGCATTCTTGGTCAACTACAACTCAACTATTTGCATATAATGATTTTTTTATTTACAGTTGTCTTTACAGTTAACACCTCCTAAATAGCACAATTTTTTAATTGGAAAAAAAATAAAATATAAATATAAAATATAATTATGCATTAAAATGTGCAGAAGTGTGTTCTCTGTGCAAGATATGCCAACAACATGTAATTAGACTAGAGGCACCAAAATTTTGCCTACGACTGTATGTATTTACTTATTTATTTTTGCGCTAGAATTATAGTTATTAAAACGTTTGATAACTCAAAGAGAATCCTTCAGCAAGACTCTTAATGCTACGTTCGCCTAACACTGTAAAGCCGCGGTCACACCGAACTGATGCCTGGGTGAGGTTGCTACCACGGCTAGTGTAGTATATAGCACCAAAAAAGGTTCCTCTATTGTGATAAGCTTGACATCATAACAATAGCAGAATTCATTTTGGAGTTATATAGAACCATTTTCAAAAAGGTTCTACACAGAACCATATACAACACATTCTCAGTCAATCTGAAGAATCATTTCACCGTGCAAGGAACCATTTAGGCATGCAAATGGTTCTTTGAGCCTTTAGAAATAAAGGTTCTGTGCAGGTACTGCTTTCAGTCGAAAAGTTAGTTTGATTTGATGGGGACACCCACAAAGAAAACTCAGTCTTATTTCTGCTGCAACACTAGCACCCACGTTTGTGCTTATTTTGCGAAATACTGTGAAAGCATAATGTGAAGGAATTCCTGTAACTGCCTGCGGGAAATCCTCTGAAAACTGTGACTGTACTGATAACAACAAATACCCAACAGGAAATGACTGCAGAGGCAGAGCAATTACTGATTTTAGCAGCCCAATTGCATATTAACAATACATCATTTAGGCTTCGGTTTAAGATTAAGAATGGCAAAGCTGTTTGGAAAATTAATCAACTGCTGTGAGCTTTTCACTCAAGAGCACAACTGTGAATACAACTTCTTAACTACACGCCTGAGTGCAAAGCTCCAGGGAGCTGTCTTACATTTACCAGGACAAGAGACTCTCAAGGAATCGAATTTAATACACAGTAGTGTGACACAGTGAGTTAAAGGCCCTGTCGAGATCTTACAGTGAGAAAAACAAACAGCTGTCGCACCTGAGAGGGAGAGCTCGCCATCTCCATCTTCTCTAAAGACTTCTCTTTGGCTAAACGAGCCGCTTCCTTATACTCCGCAAACTTATCTGCAAACTGTGGAGAGAAACGAGGTCTGAGTTGGAGAGAGTCATGTTTACATGAATAAACTCACATCCTGTCAGATTTTCATCAGAGCACATTTCCAGTACTGAACAAATCGACAGAAATGCAGCCGTATGCAAAAGTTTGGGCACCACTGGTCAAATTACATTAAGTAAGTAATGTAAGTGTAACTTATTTTCACTTACAAAATAAGCAAAACACGTAATCTGAACAGTGGTGTTCAGACTTTTGCATATGACTGTACGTGAGCACAAAATATATACAGTGAATATGATCTGTAAAGCAGTTAATCTGGGCAGTAAGCATTTATTTGTTTAATTAGAATAAATACAAATAAACAAATAACACGCTGTGATTTGATGTGTCAGTGTGTTGGCATAACAATTCCCAAAGCTCTTCTCAGAGAAGCTGAGTGTTTACAGTTACCATCCAACACCCAGTTCAGCTAATCAGGCCTTCATTACACTAAATCAGGTGTGCTAAAAACAGTGCAAGGACTGGAGTTCAGTACAAAATCAGGAACCAAAACTGTGTTCTTCTACCTGTATCATTCTAAAAAACACCAGTAACTTATTAAAAATTAAAAAAATCGGTGACACTTTATTTTAAGTGGTCCTATTTAGATGAAACAAACACTCAACAGACTTTCAGTAACATGTCAAAAACATTTGAGGGTTAGGATTAGGTTTTGGGTTGAGGTTAAGGTTAGAGTTAGGATTAGGGCCAGGATTAGGGTTAGGTTTTGGGAAAGGTTGGGTAAGGTTAGGTTTTGTGTAATGTAAGTAACATATTAGCAATACATCTACTTAATGTAAGTAATGCATCAACAGAACATCTACAAGATATTTACTTCAATGTATTCAGATGCTTCACTGCTGCTACTTCACTGATATGTTGTTGATGTGTTACTGATAATCTGTTAAGAGTTTATTAATCATCTACAAAGGACCCCTCCAAATAAAGTGTTACCAAAAAATCTTGTTACATTTTCCTGTATTTATGTATATTTGTATTTACTGTGATGTTACCGTAAGCACATTCACTACCAAGAGAAATAGTTTTAAACATTAAGACTTTTGCACAGTATTGTATGTTTTGGTAAAATCTTTAAAGAAACACTACATTAACCCTTAGAAGTTGCAGTTATCCCTAGAAATTACAAAAGCATGTTATAATTTTATATGAATTATTTCTCTAGTAGCGCACTGAAACAAGCAGATAACTTCAAGTATGGATTCATTTGTGTTTGTGTTTGTGAGAGGAGGAAGAGGAGATGTATAATTATGATTTGAATTGAATCAAAAGTTATTACATTTTTGCCAAGTGTTTGTTATTTTTGTCAAAACAAACAGAAAGGAGTTGGAGGTGAAGCTTCACACCTGTCAACAAAGAATGTAAATTGAATATAATTCCTTACTGGAATTACACAATTACATGATTTGTTACATAGGTATAACTATGTAATTACATGGAATAAAAAATAATCTTTCTAAGGGTTAACAATAAGACTGAAATAGGGAAAACAATTCATACATAGCTCATTGTGAATTTGCCCATATGGCTGTGAAATGCCAAAAAAAGCAAAGCCTCGTCTTGTACAAATATATAGTACTTTTAGAACTTTTTTGTGTGGACCTTTTTTATACTAAACAGGAAACAAGGTGCACAATGATAGCATAGATCCATAACAAATCCTCTCTCACCAGCCTCCCTCCCTCCCCATATCCATCCTCAGCTGGTGTGCTGACACAACAATGTTTACATAGAAACAGAAGCTGAACACAATAAATCACAGATAGCTTAGTGTACACATGCACATACCTAAATCTACACAACATGCAGGCATTTGCACAGCTAATTTCAGTTCAGATGCTGCTGCTTCACTGTTAGAAGGGAATTCCCAGTTATGCTGTAAAATTCCAGTGTCAAGAAATTTGACATAAGATTTACATGTAATTAACTGTGAGAGATTGCTGCTACACCAACAGACACAAGTGAGAGAACACTTTGGGAAGAATATAGGCTGATGCAAGATTGTGCTTCATCTTCTACACATCATGAGCATGCATGTTCATTCAAAGTGACACTGATCACACATTATGGGGAACAGACTAAGTTCTTAGCAAAAAAGGGTTCTATATAGTGCCAAAATAAAAGGTTATATGACTTGTGACAATAGCAGTATAGTTAGTGTTAGTCAGAGACCACCCTTATGTAATTTCCACAAGTTAACAAGTTATTCATTTTTCAGAGTCAGGAAAAAAAAACATATATTTAACAGAAAATTGCAAAGAAGCCTCAACAACTAAACATAATATCAGTTCTTTCAGTGTTCGGTGTGTCCACTCTTTGTCTTTATTACAGCTTCCATTCTTTTCAGGAGACTGGTTGCATTTTCTGCTTCTCATGATCCAAATATCCCAAATCGCAAATCTGAGACTCATCTGAGGGGCCGTGTTTGGTGGTCTAGCAGGTCTTGCATTGTTGTTAAGAGTCCCATTTTCTCTTCATCCTCAGTTTTGGAAACTCTTGCTTTTTCACTTATTTTCCTTTGACTGTCCTCTTCCTTATGCAAGTGGAATATCTTTTATCTAATCAGCTCAGAAATATATCCTGAAGCATTAATAACATATACTCAAAGGCTGTTTTTAATGGCCATTTCTGACCTGTACAACATGGTTTCCATCAGAGAGAAGAACCACTGAAATGGTTCTACATATAACGATTACCTTTGCTAAAGAACCCTTGAAAAAACACTTTTTATGGGTGTAGTTATACATGGAGACCTTTAGATGCAGACAAAAGAGCGAAGAGTGAGGGAGGAAGAGAGAACCCGCAGAAATGTGACAGGGAAGGAGTAGTGCTGGTGCAAGTGAGTGTGAGGGCATGATGTCTCTCTTGCATAAGCCTGATAGTGAGGCCTTGGTGGTTTTCCACCCCCAGTATATGACAGTGCTTAATCATAATGCAGAGGAGCGAGAAATAGGAGAGAGAGTGAAAGAGAGAGAGAGAGAGAGAGAGACAGAGAGAGAGAGAGAGAGAGAGAGAGAGAGAGAGAGAGAGAGAGAGAGAGTGTGTGTGTGAGTGAGAGAGAGAGAGCGAGGGGAGAGGAGAGGACCACGCAGAAGAAGCCTCCCACGCACTGATGACTGTACAGCTGCTCATTAGGGCACAGTGTGTAGGTGTTCCCCAGCTCAGAGATGCAGAGAGAGAGAGAGAGATAGAGAGAGAGATAGTGAGAGAGAGAGTGAGAGAGAATGCTGTAGAGAATTCCACCCACCTTGGCCAGATGATGCTCGGAGGAGAAGCCCAGGCCGTACACTGTGTTGGCGCGGCTGTCTGCCCACTGGCCAAACTTCTGCGACGTTTTCGTGAAGCTCATGTTCGGGGTGATGGTGCTGTTTATTATAGCCTGTGACAAATCACAAAGAACAGCAATTCTCTTCACAACCTGCTGCTGAACAAGTGAACATGAGAGTGGGAGCAGGGACAAGAGCTTCACAAGAACACTGACAGAAGGTTTTCGAAGCTGCTTGTTCTCCTCAAGACCTCAGCCTGGTCTCTGCTCGCTCCACTAACAAGCTACACAGAGCATGAGCACAGTGGTGGATGGTGTCACTGAAAGAACATTGCAGTAGAATGTCCCTTTGATTAAGGGTGGGCAATATGGTCAAAACATGACATCACAATACTTGACAACATTTTCATACATGTCACAATATTTTGTTTATTTCTACAATTTTTTACTGTTATATTTAGTTAATAATTCTGAGGTTTGCTAACAAGTTGAAACATTCCAATATAGTTCTTCTCTATAATATAGAACATGTTCTATACAGTTCTTTAAAGAATCTTTTTTAAAAAGGGTTCTGCTGTTTTTGTAAGTCTTATAATCTTTTTTAGTAGCCAAGAATGAAAGCATCACTTTCATAGATAAGCTATTCAAGAAGAAATATGAGGGAAAATCAAATAACTGCTAAATGTAAATTTAAGGAGTATTCCAGCATAAAACTAGAGGTTAATATGTTATTTGTTGTGTTATGCAGTATTCAGCAGCGCAGCTTTATAGCCCTCAGCCTCATTGGTTTGACAGAATTCCCAGCATGCATTGCATAAATGCATCATACAACCTTTGGGAATCCCCCGATCCTGACTTCTAGCCTGATCAGTAAGCTGTAGGCTAATATATACAACCAAACTAGCATTGGCTCACCTCAGTCAACAAACAAAATCATGAAGAAAACAATGATTCTGTCTTTATTTAACACACAATGGATGCCAGAAACAAGTTTTCACCCTTTAATCAGAGAAGAGAACACAACCTGAGGTAAGTTACTCAGAGAGTAGGCCTGTCATGATGATGAAATTTTAGCTGTCCGCGCTCACTGACGTCATGAATGTACATGAGGCACCGTTTTAAAGTCCAATAACGTGAGTTCAAAAGCTCTTAAGCTTCCAGCTCGAGCTCAAAGAAACAATAATTACTCACTGCCCTCTAAAGGTGTTTTAGCAAGTTAGAAGTTTTGTTCTTGTCGTAGACCCATTATGCAGCTTAATGTGTGCTTCCTTCTTTCTTTTATTTACACGTATTTGCCTCCAACCAATGGATGATAATACAAAATGCACCCACTTTATGTTCAAATGACTGTGAAAGCTAAAAACTGTGGACAACAATCGTGATCAGCTCCAAAAATTGCAATCAAGTGATTATACAATATTTGTGACAGGCCTACTACAGAGCCAGCTAACTTGCAAATTTTGCTTCTTGTCATTTCTGTCACTTGACTTTAGTATCTTTATTATAATGATGGTCTGAATACAGTTACTACAGTTGTACAGCTGCAGGAAGATATTCGGCTTATGGAGCCCACCCCTAAAAATCCACCCCAACATGGTTTTTCATCAGTTTCTTACCTTACCTTCAAGATACAACATCAGACTGGGTTTTTCTAAGTATTCACACTGAAAAATCTACTTTAGAGATTACTGAGGCACTACTGCATGTTTACAGTTGATGTAGCAACGGTTACATTTTTCATTTTGGCCAGAGTGTCCCTTTAATAAAATAAGATGCCATAGTGGATTGACATACAATCAGCTACTTGTTATTATGCAGTTTATATATACTGGCTCTCTGTAATTGGTCTGAATCTGCCTCTTTATGAAACAGGCAGTTGTTCTACAAGTGTTGATCTCAATATCAGTAACATATAGTTTTATCACCCATTCCCACCTTCATTTTGAAAGATGAAGAGGGTCAAATGAAGTGTTAATTTAGCATGAACTGACTGACCGGTGAAAGCGTCAACAGGATGTGAAGGAGACAATAGAGTGTGGTCATGTACTCTTAGGGAATCGATGGGTGTACTATTGATTTGTTCACTGGACACGCTCATGCAATGCACAGCTCCTATGTGAAAGATCATGCTACAGTGATCGATTGAACTCAAGGGGGGAGTGAATGTGTGCCCCTTAACACGGTTCTCAAAGCAGGAGGCCGACCTGGAGAAATAGCTGAGTTTACTAGCAAGATACTTCAGCAAATGATCTCACCATAAATCCTTCGTGTGTCTCCTCCAACATTTAAACAGGGTGGGAATCAACCCAAGAACGGCCCACCATAAACACTTAAGAGCCTCTACTAAAGCTTAAGCCATGCCGCCTTTATTAGACAGTGAAATGTTATCGGTGGAATGACCAGCGTTACTGCAAGTGAATGTGTTTGTGTGGGTGTGAAGCTGAGAGCAAATCCGAGCGTGGGGAGAGAGAGAAAGAGAGAAGGAGAGAGAGGTAAAAGCATTGAGCAGACGGGGGGGATGGGGGGGTATGTGTTGCAGTCAAGTGATTAAACCATCATGTTTTTTTTGCCAATTGCAACGGCCTCAGTTTGCGGAACTCATAATAACATTTAAGCCTCTATTGAGCTTCCCGTGCTTTGCCCACAAATGCCACAAATTTCATAGCACCTGCTGTAATGTTGGACAAGCTTCATAGAATGTTGGTGAAAAAACTATTTAACCTAATTATTTGGGTTGGAGCTCAGATTCCTCACATAACATGGAGTTTCCAGTTTTCCAGTTAGGTATTATTCCAGTTTTGCTAGGCTACTGGTCTGGACTATGCTGTTGTTGCTAATTCATAAAGATTTGGAAATGACACGCTAACTTTAGCTTGATTACACAACAAAAATGACACATAGTAGTAGTGGGTGGTATGGCCACAAACTTACTTGGTATGACCAAAATTTCTGATGATCTCAGTACATATCACGACTTATATATGCTTACATGAACCTATTTTTGTAGGTTAATGCTGGCTTATTATTTTGAGATGTTCCTTCACTTTTAATAAGAACCAGTTTCAACAACCAAAGTAAATCCTAAATATTTTATTGTGCAAAATGGTAAAAACACAATTGAACAATATGTAAATAAACTTATGTCAATATTGCTTTCTTACTAGACCCATGAGCACGGCAAAAACGGTACTAAATGTTGTTTCACGTCTGAATTTCTACAAGACTGAGTTTTCTGTTTCACCCTAAAGACTGCAGCAGGTACATTCTGGTACCTGTATAGGCACCTGAATGTAACTGCTGCACCAATTAAAGTGAAACAACAATTCAGCTTCATCGAATTTCTCAAATTTCTTCTCTCTCACATGCATCCCATATAATTGTGCCTCCGACCATCAGACACTGTTGGGATTTGAAAAATATTAGTTATACAGCTATCAGTATCAGCTAATTCAGTGCTTGTTTTGCACAGAAGGCCCTGGTCTGGTGTCCATGCTAGGCTAAGGCTAACCTCAAAAGACCAGCTGTTCCTTTGTGCTTGCAGCCTCGAAAACAATGCAAGCAGTGATTGATGGTCTGCCCACTACTAACACCTATCTACACTCCCATCCCATATTCCCCATCCCATACATATCATTTAAAATTAATACCACAGTCAAAATGTAGGTATTTTGACAAAAAACTCAGTTGTGCACTACAATTTCTCTTTGAGCCGAATTAGATTTTTGCTAACAGTCTGTAAAGCTTGTCTACTGCCACAACAATTGCTATGAAAAAAACATAATTTGTGGTTAGGATGTGGAGAGGTCAGTTAGCAAAAGCCACCATAAGGTTTTTCATAGTTTTCATAGGCAGAGACACATAAAGAGCAAGGGGGGACTGGATGTACATCAATTTTTACGGACGTACAGTATAAAAGGCTTTCAGATACTCCTACACACATCCGGAAACACAAGACGGAGGCGGGCTCCACACAACTGCAGTACATGAGCTCAAAGAAAAAAAACTGACAGTGGGCCTCAGCTTCTCTTGCGCTACATGTTATACAATCCTTCCTTCAAAGTAGTAGTGGGAAGAGAGCGCTCTCTCCTTCATCCCATATTCCCCCCATCCTCCCTCACATAGAGGAGCCATCACTCATTGTCCTGTTAAACTTCTGCTAGCCCCACTGTTCATGCTTTAGCTTTAGCCAAAGAGACACTGTAAATACGTTTTGACAGCACAGGTAAATAAAGGCATTTTCAAACCAGTACTGACATTACTGATCCTGAACACTACTGTCATACAGCTGAAATGAGATCAGAATTTGTGTTATCATCTCATCTGTTCTTAATTTAATGCTAACTGTCAAATCTAGTGCTAGCTAACTGATCAAGCTAACACTACGTAAATCAGAGCATAACGGCAAAGCACTGCAATATCCGCTTGATTACTGCCCTGGACGTGTGCCAGCTAATGAAGTGAGCGTATTTGCAGGCTATGCTTGAGCCTTTTCATGTCTATATGTGGCACTCTGCTAGCTGAATGGTAAGCAGGTTGAAATTGGTGTTTCTTTTTATTTTCAGATATGGGGGGGCAGTGCAGCGGGTGCCCTAATCGGAGTCCACACAGGCAGCTGTATAATCAGTTGCTCCAGGCTTGTAATTGCATGGAGCTGCGCAGTGGGTGGACAGCTCTAACCTGCAGCAGCAGAGCTCACACTCTGGCGTTGGAAGCTGATCTGAGGCCAGTTTTGCAGCGTACGGGATTCCGGAGTCTCTTCCGAAATTGTAGTCTTGCTGGGCCAGACGTGATCTTGTAATGAGAACGTTTGCGGACAACCATGAGATTTTTTGCACTAAACATGCTAAATGTGGGTGGGAATGTCGACTTACTAGGGTGGAAACAAACCGTGTGAAATTTCAAAACCATTCCAACGCCTTGTGGTGGAGCTCAAAGTGGGCGATGCTGCACTTGTCAGCACTGCCTGATGGACAAATAGCTTGTAGTTAGCCCATGGATGTAATGTAAGTTAGCATGGGTAAAAAGTCTATACTTTTGGGCATGCCTGGTCAAATGACATGTTCTGTTAAATTTTCTATGTGAAAGTATGTTAACACATTCGCTACAGAGAACACAATTTTGCACAATTTATTGCACAATTACTGCTTATTTGGTTAATTTAACATATTAGGAAATAAAAACCATAAAATGTGGCCTGTGCAAAAGTTCTGGCACATTTCATTTTTCATTCATGCACTAAAAATTGCAGAAAAAATGCCATATTCAAGTGTGTTCCCTGTAGAGGACGCTTATTTTTAAAAAAATCAGCAAAACAGTGTTCAAACTTTTGCATACGACTGTATCTTTGGAAAAGTTTTACCCAAAAAAGATCATATGCAGATGTGTGTTATGTGTGTAGATAACAAACTTGCCAATTCAAAACCAGAAGAACCACTGCGGGAGCAATCTGTCACCACAAGACTATGGAAATCTGTATACGCTAGCAGTACAAATTTAGCAGTGAAGAACAGCTTTTGAAAGCCAACTCTAAATGGTATTTGTACTGCTGTGTTGTTCAAACGCACCAAGCACTAGGGCTGCAACTATCAAATATTTGAATTCATTTTAATAACTGAATAGAAAATGACTTTTCATACTTAGAATTGGCTTAATTATTAGCTTTTACACTATTGCATATGTATTTATTTATTTATTCAGCGTTTTAATGGCTCTGTCTGAACAGCAGTGAGCAGAGGCGGAGAGAAGAAACAGAGTCTTAAAAATTGAAATGACTTTTTTGTTGAATTCTTGTCAGTGAATGGGAGGTTTTTAAGATGCTCAAACCACATTATAATGTAGAGCATGCTAAGCTCAGCCAAGTCAGCTTTAACAGCCGGTGCAGTCTGAATAATTTTCCTACAGCTCTGGACACTCAGCTATTAGCTAGTCAGCTAGTTCTCAGTAAAAATCATGATGGAGAGCCAGGTAGCTAGCTAGCTAACAAGCTAGAGAAGAAGGAAACTTATTTTGACTGCAGCTGGAGTTAAAACCGATACTGTCACCTGGAATTGTGAGATTGTGAGAAGCTGTGCCAAGTCACAAGGAGTCTGCAGAAGTCCAGCGTACAGGCCTGCAGCTACATGTTACTGGTGAGAAGCTAGCACTAGGCCCGTCTGTGTTCATTCATAAAAGTGATATATGTGTCCATTATTCAAATGGCTTTCCCATTTTTTTATATTTTAATTATTACATTTATCAAATATTTGCAGCCCTGCAAAACACCAATACAAATACAAATAGCAATTTCTGTGTTAATAAGAAAAATGTTTAGTAAAAGGATTAGGTAAAAGAATGTAATCCCTGCCCTGGCACTAATGCCAATCTCCTGGCACGGTCCATAATAGGTCAGTGCCAGTTCACTTCAGGCCAAGGCTTAAGTGACAAACTGTAGCCTGCACAATGGTGGAACCACAGCCTGCTCCACTGGAATTCACAGAGGTCAAGGCAGAAACCATAAATTATGAGTAGGCAGAGGGAGGCACATCACAGCTTAAACATCATGGAAGGCATTACACAAAGATGGATTAGTGTACTGTCCTGCTATTGCCCCACTGGCTCTTACTGAACCACCTCTCCTGGCCTTAAGATCAGGCTCTTATCGTGTCTCCCTCACTGACCTCATTCCACTGCTCCAGTCTCATACAGCAGCTCGTAAAGACCTCATATATATTGTGTATTTACTGCTACTTCACGGAACACACAATACTTCAGATCCAGAGACACATTTACAACCTACAGAGTGCAGTTACAGCAGTCAAAGATATTATGCAACGCCGGCAGAGTTCACCGAAGTACAAAACAGATGACGACTGGCTATAATTTTGACGTGGTACTAACTGCTGCTAAGCTAACAGTAAGTTGTGGCTGTGGGTCTAGAGAAATATGCAAGCCATAGAGCAGTTAAAACCACTTCAGTGCACTGGGATCGCTTCACACGTTATTTCTGTCTCTGAAGCCACGAGCTGGGGGACAGAGAATCCTAACACACAAGCACACACGCTGCTGGGGCTATTTTAACCACTCTGCACTCCCTCTGCAAGAAGGGGCTAGAGACCGGAATTGAGTTGCCAGTGGCCTGAACTACAGTGTTTCTTCTCATCTAAGAGCTTTATGTGAGCAGACATTTGGTGCATGAGAAAATGTATGAGTTTTTGGTGTGACAATGAATATGTATGGGTTACGTCGCAGTCATGTCTTGTATTCTGCTCACTGCTGAGTGAGTCAGGAGTGCGATTCAAATTCTAATCATGATTGCTGCCCTTAAGGGTTTGTGATGCAAGACTGGTGAGCCAAAATAGTCCCTATGTGCAATCAATGAAGTGACTTTGGTTAGCATGACGGAGACTGCTGCAATCTAATACAACAGAGTCCGCTCTAGAGCTGCACGTTACATCAAATCCAATTAATTCAAACAGTGACATATGCAAGCCTGTGACCAAATCCACTTTGGAAGACAATGCACTTGTCTTCTGCATGGACCACTAGGTCATTGCATCCTTAATGTAAGGTTACACAGTGATTGAATCCAGTGCAATCCACTAGAAAAGAGACAAATCTCTTGGGCAACACGTTTAACAGCAATCACTAGCATGCACTATGCAGGTCTGTTCAGTGCTTGTTCATACACTCAAAATGAGTCATTTACAAAAACTAAACACTGACGAATGAACTGTTTCAGTTAAATATGAGTGCAATATTTGGTTTGTATGCTTCTTCTGGATCAGACTTAATCAGTGCAAAGCTGTACTGAACAGAACGCATTTTGGAATTAATCTGTCTCACAACCAAAGTCATCAAAGGTCTTCCTGTCCAAGCAGGATGAATGGAAAACACTGCAAATTCTTACCTTTGACCCATCCAGGCTGATGATCCTGTAGACATTTCTGGTGCTGTCATAGAAGTAGGAGACGGTGACCGCATGCTTGCTGGTGGGCACCCAGTTCTTCTTGGTGTTGGGGTCGATCTGGAAGACGTGCGCCCGCGTGCTGTAGATGGGCTGCTCCCTAAAGGGGACGAAGAAGAAATGGTGAACCTCTTTGTGCCGGAGAACCGTTGTTTCCCCGAAGCCATTGGGTGAACTTGCACGACCCGGCAGACGGATCACCATCTCCTCTGCCTCCATCTTGGTTCGAGCAGGAACCGGAGGAACTCAGGAGGAACCTGGTCCCACCCACCCAGCTAGATACATTGGTGTCCTGCTTTACAAAGCAGTAGACCAGCACATTCAAGTCGCTCAGCTGAGATGGAAATGCCAGCTGTTTGGCAGGGGCCAGGAGGGAGGGGGACTAAATATAGTCTGGGCTGAGGTAATCTGTTGCAGCCCCACCCCTTGCATTTGCAAAAGGGGCTTCAGTTCATTTGAATATGGTACTGAAACTGATGAGAACTGTAGTAACCCAAAAGGCTGGCACATTTGCCTAGTTTCTTTTTTTGTCTCAAAAGTCGAAGTTTCTAGAACCTGTGTGTTTTATTTATGGTGTTAATGATAGCAATATGTTGTACACAGTGAGAGTAGTGCTAACTAGTGGTTACAGGCCTTCACATCTGCATTCATCAAGACTCACTGTAAACTGCAACCTTATACTGGATTGTAGTAATGCAGAACCAGGGTTGTGCATTCCGATTGATTTTGAGATTCAAGTATCCACATGAGTTCATGAACAGATATCCAGTTAATCAGAGGTAAGGAAAAACAACAAGCCAAAAAAAGGAAAAAAACTGAAAACGATGAAGGCCTTCCTTTTTAGGTGACATTACAGGTGTTGCACAAAAATACAGCATGCAGACGAATACACAAATGTGTTTTAGAATTCAAAAACATCCAAGGGACACCAGTAGATTTGTTGGATGACTTGGATGATGGATGCTGCCTTTTCAGATAAGTTAATGACCTAACAGAGCTAACCAGTGTCACATTGGATGCTGGTGACAACTCGTTGTCTTCTACATGAGGTATATGCCAACATGTTATTTGTCAGAAAAATTTTCCTATGATGAAATGTAACGATTTAAATATTGGCACCTTGAATGGTTAAGTGAGTACTTAAGTAGCCATGCACATCTCTATACAGACTTCTGTCCTGGGAAATCTGTCCTGGGAAACAACATAAACGAAAGCAAGAGGACTTTTGTTAATTTACATCCTCTTTCTCCTTCCAGCTCTAGGTAGAACTTGCCTTTTACAAAATGCCAGGAAAATTCTTACATTGCTAATTGATCTATCCACGCTTGGCCCATAAATGTGTTCTTTTATAGTAACTATAACAAGTTTAACAGAGCTTTGGTAAAAAATGTAGAAGGTCACAACTTTTCACAAGCTTTGGTGTTAGTCATTTTAAATCATACAGGTTTAATATGCAAGTGAAAGCTTTCACTGTTAGTATAAATCAGATGTAGTTTTTGTTATTTCTTTGATTTTAGCAGGGTGAAAAAAAATTCTTCACTGTCATTTCCAAATGGCTACCTTTGATTTAGCTATAGCAACATAGTCCAGCTCAGTAGCGGAGCACTGGACATCTGCATTTTGTAGCAAGTCTAAAACAAAGATCACTAAAATTGTCCATTTGATTTAATAGGATTTTTGACAGCATTCTGTAAACCTTCCAACATTGTCCAACTAACACTAGTTTCTATGAAACAAATTGTTAAACATAATAAGAGAATACAGAAATCATTATATGAGTGTCCAGCTGACCTCAGACCAGCAGCAAACGGCTGCTTTTGCCATTAAACATTAGCAGATGGAAGCTTCCCTGTACCATCCCAAGACCCATCATCCATATGACCTAATTCCACAGATAACTCCCTTCCCCCAAACCCGAGAAAGACTAACACGCAATCCCTACATATACTAATATACTGCACTGTATTATCAAATCATAGGATCAGACGACGGAGCGCAAGGGGGTGAGCCAGGAAGCTAAGCAGCTGTGAGCTCAGACACAGAAGCGTTTCTGAGATAGAGTTTGTTGTTCCTATTCCCGGGACAGCTAATCACCATATTCAATTCCATTAGCGTGCTTCTAATCAGCAGCCATTGGGCTGATGTACAGAAATGTGTACACATAGAGGGAAGATGAGTGAGAGGCAAAGCGATAGCTGGGGTGGTAAGAGAGAAAGAGTGAGAAACAGAGAGAAAGAAGCGCTGCTGGAGCACGGAGCTCTGCGAGATAGAGAAGTGCTTACACTGCACTGGGGGGCTGAAAATCTTTGAACAACATCAAAGGGGCATTGCATAATTACCATTAAAATTCAGCAGCAATACCATACATGGGAAAAGAGGGTGAGATTCCTGAATGGGGAGTGGGGGAGTCAAAGTTGAATTTCAACCAAACTAATTTTGGGGTATCCATCAGAACAATGCAGATGGCACTGGTTTAGGGAAAAAGAGTGAGTTCAGGCAACTTAATAAGATTGTTTTTTTGCCGTTTTCCCACAATTTTCTTCCCTGTTTAATAACTAGGTCTCCCTCAATCACACAATACTACCAGCACCAGGACGGTGAAGGCTAGCCAAGTCATGTGAAGCACCTTCGTAGCTAATACAATGTCACTGGATGGCTCAAGGCACTTGAAGAAGAGCACTAAATGCCAATCCTGAGTTGGCTAGCATCATGCTGAGAAGAGAGGAGGTCCATCCTACCCACCCAGAAAGAGAAAGAGAAAGAGAAAGAGAAAGAGAGAGGCCAATTATGCTATCTTAGCCTCCCAGCCTCGGATGGCTGTGGTAATAATAAGGATCTCCCAGTGATAGAGCTAAAAAAGGGTTCTTTGCAGCAATGATGCAATAGAAGAACTACTTGTGGTTCCCAAAGGAAATTTTTACTGGGTAGGTTTTTTTTTTTCCTTTTTGCCAACAGTTATGTTCCCCCAGTCACACAATACTACCAGTGCTAGGAGGTTGAAGGCCAGGTTGTTTTCTCTGCGACTTGTGAAGCTCGCCATCATCATTTCCGACTGCAACTAATGCAGTGCCATTGAACAGCTCAACACACTTGGAGGAGACCCACCGCTAGCATCGCACTGAATAATGGGAGAAGCAGGAAAGCCAACCTACCCATGAGCCCACTTATTGTCTTTGTCCAAAAATCGGGGAAACTTGTGTTTTTCTGACAGTGGCATTATGCTCTCCTGGACTCCTGGGCCAAATCCCATTTCTTATTTTTACCCTTACCTCTAACTCAGTTCCAAGGGGCAAGGTGATATTCGAATATCACCTTGCCCCTTGGAACTGAGTTACAAGGGGTAGCGGCTGAAATCTTCCTCTACAAAATGGGACCCTCAAGTAAAAAAGAACATTACGTCATTAACAGGCTACTAGCTGTGCTCTGTAGAACCACAGAGGAGGTTAAAGTTCAGCAACCTCGCCGCTGCTCTTTAGTTCAATTTAGTGACTCATATGTCTTTAAAGAGGTGAGAATAATAATTATTTGTAATCGCCCACCCCTAATTCTTGGTGATATGAAGCTGAAGTCAGACATTCGCCAGCTTCTTTTTTGAATTTTCCCATTCCACCTTAAATGGTGCAGCAGTACATTCTGACACCTCAGGCATCAGAACTGCTGCACCACTTAAGGTTTACCAATTAAACTAAATTAATTCAGTGGTTATCATAGTTTTTGCAGGTTTCTTTGGTCTCTTGCACAGCCATCTTGCTGTTTTTTCTCTTTTCTCTTAACACTCTGTTTGGTGTTCTCTGAAAACCCTCCGTTTGGAGGGTCATGTAGGCCTAACACTTCGCCCCACCCCTCTATCACAACAAAAACCGAGGTACCCTACCCCTAGGCGTGAACATACAAAACGGAGGGGTAAGAGCTAAGTGGTAGGGGTAGAGGTCACAGATGGCTGTGGCAACATTAAAGAACCATTTTGATCAATTAGACTCTAAAGTGTGAGAATCACATAATAAAAAAATTCTATACTAAGTAAGTTTTTCCTTTGCCCACCTAGGTCAAGAACCATTTAGGAGTCTTTATTTTGATGGTATGAGTTTATTCACACTGGCTATTTTACTGAGGCTGAGTGTATCTCTGTGTTGAGATCGCCTATTGATACCTCTTTTAGTCATTAGCACAAAGTGGCAGGTCCTCTGAGAACAAGCCTCCATCCCAAAACCACTAAGCTGTGTCGAGGCCCACACTGTTTCACCCTCATGTGTACAATACAAGAGCAGTTATGTGAATCACATGCTGTGTGGGTGGACTGGAGTCTTCTTTGTGAAGCTCATCACCAGCATATCAGATTTAGCACAAGCACCGCTATGCTACATCCTTCGACTAGCGCTTTGGTTTTGTTACTCACTGTAAAAACGCTACAGCAGAGTAATTAGTGTGTCGCTTTAATGTTGACACTAACGGAGTCACGTTGACACACACGTTCCCGGTCGCGGTGTGAAACAGGGGGCTGCACTCATCTGTATTCAGCTCAGATGAGTGACATTAGCAGTAACTGTGGTGTGATAAAGATCATTTCACACCACTTGCCTCCTACAACCAGCCAGAGTCCAAGGGTAAAAGTGTTCACCCTTGTCTAATAGCCCTTCTGTATCTCACTCCCGTCCTGTTGGTGCTCGAAGGGGACAGTACATCATCCCTCTATGGGGATCAAACTGACGCAACATTCACACATATGGGTGGGTTTAGGATGCAGATTTGTCTAATCTCTGCAGTAATTCAGCATTAATGAGTGTATTAAAATGCATAATCACAAAACAAACGTTCAAAAAATCACGGAATTTAAATGAAGCCTATGACATACAGGAAATCAGAGGAAAGAATACAGATATGTGGCATATTTACATTTGATAGTGGACTAACAGCCTGCTCAGCCTTCACTTACATTGCTTATTCTGTCCAGCAGGAGGCAGATTTTACAGAAGACCCCAGCTGCCCTCATTTATCTACAATTTTAGGCTATGGTAGTGCAAACAGCATGGTTGCCCCTTCCGTAGTAACTGGATTAGACTGAAAATTTTCCCGCTTAACTCCAAACTGTAATAGCTAGCGGAATACAGTCTCCCTGAATGGGTCTGAAGAACCACAATCATGACAATTTAATTAAGAAATAAGAGCAGGGGCTGTTACACAATGAATACGGCTTAATAAGAGTGAGGGGTTTTCCACCACAATAAAGAGCATTTAATACTGAGGTGATTACTCCGCAAAGAAATTGAAATAGAATCAACGGAAAGGGCGAAAGCATAATTAGAAATCATTCTGTAGCTAAAATCAATTAATATCATGATACTCACAAGTCCTTAGTCAATGGAAATGCCTCAGTTGCTGCGTGTGCTGGTGTGCTGGCATATAGATGATGAGTTGTAGGCTAATATTTGAAAACCTATAATGGATCTGGCCTCATAAATGAATAAGAAGAGTTTAATTGAACCACTAATGGCTGTCATTCCATTAATATCTACACTCTTTAAAAAGATGGTTCCTCAAGGGTTCTTTATTAAAGGTATTAGTTCTATATAAAACTATTTCAAGCCTAAATGGCTCTTTGCATGGTGAAATGGTTCTTCATTGATGGAGAATGTGTTGCATATGATTCTACACAGAACCTTTTTGAAAACTATTCTATTCTGCAGCAAAAAGGATCTGTTATTGTTAAGATGTCAAGCTTGTTATGATGCAAGAACCTTTTTTGGTGCTATAAAGAGTCATTTTCAAAAAGGTTTTGTGAAGAACCATATACACACTAAAAAAAGGATGAGTCTTCATAGGTCCTTTAGTGAAGAAAACGGTTCTATATAGAACCATGAGCACTCAAAGAATCTTTTGCAAGATTACAGCGTTCTTCAGATTGATGGAAAATGTGCATAAATGTGCTACAGATGGTTCTATATAGAACCTTCTATTGTTACAATCTTGACATCATAACAATAGAAGAAACATTTTGGTGCTATATAAAAACCTTTTCAAAAAGGTTCGACATAGAACCATATATAGCACGTTCTCCATCACTCCATCCATCCCTTTCATGGTGCAAAGAACCCTTTAATCATGCAAGGGTTCTTTGTGTGTTTATGGTTCCATATAGAACCATTTTCTTTAATAAAGAACCATTGAAGAAGCATTTTTAAGAGTGCACAACACATTCTTCATCACCTGAGGAGCCATTTCACCATGCAAAGAAGCCTTTAAGCAGGACACTGTTCTATATAGAACTCATGGTTCTAAACAGAACCATTGCCTTTACTAAAGAACCTTGAGTGTACAAATGCCTGATGATGTCACTTTATATCTCCACTTTATAACAAGCCAAACAACCAATGCTTGTTCTGCGTCTTCTTCGTCTATGAAAACAGGTTCAAGAAAACACGTTTATCCGTGTGGAGAACGTGCCTCATACCTTTATTCCTTATCATAAATCTACAACCATTCCTAAAGCCGGAATGCTGAGCTGTGCTGTGGAAATTTCACGGCTGGGTAAACCCAGCACTGATCTTATTGCCGGTACTGGAGTCAAAACTCGATTACTCAGGTCTTGCTGTATAGCTGGCTTCTGCTGGAACTGAGATTACACGGATGGAAATATTGGGGATGGCACAATAGGCATGTCTGCGTGATGTGAGAGTTGATTAATTGCTTTAATTAATTGATTCATTCAGGCTGTAGAATTGCATAACATTGTGTAGCACTGAATTACATCAGAAATAAAAAAAAATGAAGAGAAAGTTTGATATTAACAGCTATGTCACCTCAGGAATCAAGTTCATTGACCAAAGATAATGGACCAAATACAAATATTAAATAAATGTAAAAAGATGAGCTCAGCGAAGTGCTCTTTTATAGTGTCGATGGGTATTTTTGTATTCTACAACCAATCAGGTCTAAAGTTCAAGGCACCTAAACAGGGTGGGTATAATAGAATCACATATCAGAAAAATCTCCCAGTAATACATAATAATGCGCTGTTACATTAGTCATACATAGTAATACTACAGGTATTACTACAGGTATTCTATAAGAATGTTACTGTACATTTGGACAGTTATAGTTTATTATAGGACCCTATAGAAGTATTACAGATAAGACAGCACAGCATAAGGCTGAAATATTACAGATTATAATACTGTACTATCCTATACTATACTATACTATACTATACTATGCAGCACTACAGTAATATTACCTCCTCTTATAGTATTACTAGAGCTTACTAAACGTCAGGGTTTCAGGGTTGATCCTGACAGTTATTGTCATTGTCAATGTATACTGATTGTTTTCTGTGCTGCCGTCTTGGTCAGGTCTCACTCGTAAAAGAGATTTTTAATGTTAGTGTGATTTCCCTGGTTAAATAAAGGTAAAATGAAAATGAAATTAATGTCACAGGAGCTGCTAAAACCGCGCTATTCCTCTACTGACTGAAGGCGTTCACAATCAGAAACTTACCCCATGTTGGCTTGTCTTTTTCTTCTGAAAGGCGAAATATCCTGAGAGTGAATGCAGACTGAGGCTAAGCCAATTTGTTCTCACGTTGCCGCTGAGACAGTGAGTGGCCTCCGCGTTTCTCTGGGTTTTAACTGAGCCGTGTGAGTGAGCTGGCCATCATCAGTCCGAGGCTGGCCGCTGCTCCGCCCGCTCCCGCTGCATCTCCCCCCGCAGCGCGGTGGAGTTCCTGACGCTCTCGGTGAAGCCCACGGTGCGAGCAGCCTCGGGTCAATCTACACGCAGCCTGTGCGCTCATGAAATACACAACACCCACGGCGAATATTTATCTACCTACTGACTGCGGTTCTCCCACACCAACGAGCTGCAGTACGGTAGCCGGAGATGGCACTTAATGAAAAGATGAATGAAGACCCCTCTCGGTGGGCGTGAGGACGAGGATGAAGATGAGGATGAATCCTGCTGCCAATCGCTACTACAGCCCACATAACATCACGCAGGACAACGCCTCCTGGTAGGTCTACTAGGGCTACTTCATAGGCATTGGTTTCTCATTACGAGCAATTAAAAAATAATAATAATAGTAATAATAATAATAATACGTTATATATATATATATATATATATATATATATATATATATATATATATATATATATATATATATATGTGTGTGTGTTTGTGTATTGTGAATAATAAACATTTGTGTTTGCGTAAACCTATACTACTTGCAGCATAATTATTAAACCAGCAGAGATAACGAAGACTCTCATAAGATTGTCATTATATTAATTAAGCTTAATAAACCTAGCCCAGAGTATTACAGCATTAGTACTGTGAGACTGTAATTACAGAGGGGACTTTTATTAAAAGTTCAACCCAGAAGCAGAAAGCGTCGTGGCCCGCGTCAATCCTAAATAGCTCCCTTCCCCCTACGTAGTGCATTACCGTAGATCTTAAAAATAATGGCTCTTGGACCAAACCCGTGCATAATGTATCTAACACAGAGCCATTTATGATTTAACCACGTCTGCATGCTTGTCTTTGACATATAGTGGGTGCAGAAGCCAAAATTTCGTAACTCGCGTAGTGCCCTACATAGGGAGTAGGGGGCCATTTGAGATTCAGCCCTAGTGTTAGTAACGTTGCCGTGTTTTCATGTAGCAAGAGAAGAGATACAAGCTAATAGCCATCCGGCTAAGTGACTGTATATGCCCGCTCTGTCAGTAAGTTCGTTGTTATATCATACTTGGTACGGATTAGTAGCTAGAAAGACAGATTCTTAACATTTTAGGCAAAGTGTCTGCTGAGAAACAGTGTTTCATATTTATTCGCTTAGATAATTTAAACGTCTGTCGCCCAGGTAGCAGTTGGGTTACCTGAGTGGTTAGCTTAGTGGCTAATTGCGTTTAAAATCCGTAGCTACTATGATTTGTTGAATTTGAAAGTAAAAGTTACAATTAATGACAACAGAGTAATATCCGAGTGACTTTCGTTATTAGCTAGCTAGCTAGTGAAAACTACCTACAAATCAGACTTTCTATTTATTAAATTGGTACAGTTTGTGGCGAGATTGGTTTAGCTAGCGTTAGATAGCGTTAGCTAACACCGCTAGTAACTGCTTCATTCGTTTCTTTTTAGCTAAAGTGTGAATGTAACGTCAAAACAGTAAACATACAGGTACACTGTGGGTGTTGAAAAGATAACTGTTCATAATTAAGTTGAATATGCACTTAATATGCCTTCCCAATTTAAGCTTGTTTATGTGCTAAATTTCCTTCAGGATCAATAAAGTATTTATCTATCTTTCTGTCTGTCTATGTATTTATCTATGTGTCCTTTTCCGTGTTGCAACCTTATCGCACAAACATATCTTGCTTATTTGTTTCATTCTTTATGGATCTTCAGGTGGCAGATGCGTGTCCCTCTCTGTAAAGAGGATGTTGCCGAGGTCTCCAGCCTTCCCCCATAAACATGGGCAAACCAGGCCTGATATAATATTCACCCAACGCCTTTTACCCCATGCCTTCTCACAACAGCAACGAATCGAGTCACATCTGAACCTCACTAACACAAAGTGAGTTTTGATTCTTCTTTGTAAAATTTAGGATCATTTTGATGTCATAAGTGCATCTGGTACTCTACTGAACTGCAAATGAAGTATACTGTTATATCACACCCTGAATAAACATAGAATGACAGTACACCCAGCTTAATCTCATGCATGTGTGTGTATATATAAGTAAGGATGAGGGATAAAGAATAGCAGCTGACTGTGCAGTCATTGTGCAAGTCTAACATAAAAAGTCATACTGGCCAGTTTACAGGAATAAGTGCCTAGTTCAAGAACCAGAACTGGCAGTGTGGTGCAAAGAGATGCTAATGTTAAGTCAACATTTGTAGTTTTCCTGAATGCTGTCTAACCAGTTTGGTTAATTAGAGTATTTGCTAGGCAGAAGAAACTATTTAGATGGCCATTCTTGATAGCAGTGGTTTGCTCAAAATCTTTCTTTTTCCCAGTTTCCACAGCAAACCTCTGAATGTATTCCCCTATCATCCCAACCTATCAATGGAACCCAGCACCCGACATTCCTTTCACCAGTCCAAATGGGTCAAGAACGAAAAACAGGAAGTAAGTATGTCTTTTCACGACTCATTATAAACACAATTGAATGTGTTTTCGGTATGGTCTAACTGTCAGGCACTCAAGAACCTCTCATGTAATTGTGCTGTAGGAGGAAAAGTGATGGCCATAGTCAGGATGACCTGAAGAGGCAGCGCTTCAGCTCTCCACACCCATACAAACAGCCGGGTAAAACATCCAGGTTTAGCCCAGTATGTCGGGGAGAGCAGGGGCTAACTAGAGTGTCTGTGGGTGAGGGCTGCTCTCCTGTTCGTTCTCCTATGCACTCCCCTGGCACCTCGCACTCAGTAGGCTGTGTGCCGTCTCTCAGGGAGGACTCTTGTCAGAATGCCAACAGCAGTCTGCCACCGTCCCTCGTCAAAGATAAGGTACACTTTGTTGAATTAGTGAAATAAGCTTAGCAAAATAGTGGGCCATCTTCTTTTTCAGGGGTCATCAGTTCTGCTCCTGGAGGCCCGGTGTCCACAGTTTGATTTCCCTGCTCAAACACACCTGATTTAACTTGATTACTTTTCACACTTCTGAGATGCAAGCTGTTTTCATTGAATGTTCCTTTACTAACTGCAACTGCAAATAAAAATGAGGATGTAAAATTGTCAGTTCTCTACGCTCTCATTCTCATACGCTGCCATTGCTTTAATGTTTTTTCCCACTGCAACAACTTCTGTGGCGTCAAATCTGGAAGTGTGAAAAGTTTCCATTACATGAACCGATGACACCTGATCTTAGATCACTGTTCTTACTCTGAGGTGCTTAATATACTGGTCATGGGATTGGAACTGATGATTGCTGTTGTAGGACATGTTTGTTTCTTTTTGACTAGATGATCAAACCGTGCTGTATTTCATTACCTGTGTACAGAACTGAATTGCTTTTGTGTAATAGATAAATGTCATATATTTCAGCTCAGTCAGCAGATCTTAGAGCTGTTCCTTGCTTGCGAACAGCGGAGTGAAGACCTGGAGAGGAAGGAGTCCTGTCGTGCGCAGTTACAGAGGGACATTCAGAGACTATTCCCATGTACGTCTCCCTCTGACATCCACCCACCATGTTCAGTTGTTCTTCAAAGCTTGATGAGTTCTGCCTTAACTTTAATGTTTTTTAACTGTTGCATGTATAGGTGCGAGAGTGTTCCTGGCAGGATCATCACTTAATGGTTTTGGTAGTCGCTCCAGTGATGCTGATCTCTGCCTCGTTGTTCAAGACGGGCCAGTAAGTTTATTTTTTTTGGATTGATCATGACATTGAAAAGGAATAAACTTTAATCCATTTGCTTTTGGAGCAGCTGGCCATTCTTTCTGTCTGTATGGTTATTCTTTCATTACTTTTCTATTGTAGGTAAACCAGAGAACAGATGCTGTGTGTATACTCAGTCTTGTGCAGAAGTTGTTATACAAATTGTGTAAGTGCTTGCCATTGACATCTAGTTTTGCACTTCCTATTACAAAATTATATCCCTTTGCTTTTGGTAGAAATTATGTTTTTTTTTAACCGCAGCTTACATTGAGAGACCTCAGCTCATCCGAGCAAAAGTGCCCATACTGAAGTTCAGAGACCGAATCAGGTAGGTTTCTTAAACAGCTCATAAGTGCTGTCATTTTTATTTAGTCAACTCACTGGAGTTACGTATGGCAGGCTGCTCGTATGCTGTCTTTTTGACATCTTTGCCTTTTTTTTACAAGCATCAAATCATTATTTTCCCACTTTTTACGAGCTAAGTTTGTTGCACTGTTGCATGTGACAAGGCCGAGGTGAGTGGAAATGCAATTTAGGGACAATCAATTGCACAGAGAGAGCTCTGACATGATCAATAAATGCCTTTCATATAGGGATAAAATTAGTGTGCTCATTTTCACCCTGCATGTTGGGTTAGCTTTGCTGTGGAAATTCTTGATAATTCACTGCTGAATTTTCCACTGGTAGTCCATAATAAGGCTGATCATAATTTGATGGTTTTGTTGATTGATCAGTAATTCCAACTTTCTGAACTCCACTTTTATTGCAGTGGAGTGGAGTTTGATTTGAATGTAAACAACATTGTCGGGATCAGAAACACCTTCCTGCTACGGACATATGCGTACAGTAAGTGTGACTTAGTTTACCTATGTTCAGGTCATTGAACGTATTCAGTAGTGAAGAGAGCTAAAACAAGGACTGTTAGATAATTAAGTCCCAAAATTGCCGATTTTATACAGTATTATAAACTGGATTCACAACCATCAATTCATTTCTGTACGAATGCGCCAAAATATGAAAAACCGTTGTGCTGTTCATGGAGTAATTTTTGACTGTTATGTTGCATATAAACCATAACCTACTGTTAACAAGCTTCATTTCTTGGTAAAAGAATTGTTAAAGCTGTGGTTTGGTGAAAAACAATTAACACATTTTCCACGTACACCAGATGTGGTTAATCAGCCAAGACTTGTTTGGTGTCCAAATTTTGCTTAGTTAAAAACTGGAGCTACAAGGCTAATGTTGCCAAAAAATATTTTGTCAGTAGTCACCCAAATCTTTTCCATTAATACATCCCCAAAACTTCTCTCATTCCACTCCAACCACATCTAGGTCTTCAATAGGGTGGCACAGACTTGTTAATGTGGTTTAGAGCAAAATCTGACTTACTGTGAACTATAAAAATGAACAAAACTGAACAAGCAATGTTAGCCTCGTAGCTCCAGTTTTAAACTACAGAAGTAAAAGTTTCTCATCAAGCTGATCAAATACAACAGGATAAGTTGAAAATTGTATGAATTAGGTTTTTTTGCTGAACCACATCTTTAATCTGTAATTATTATAATTATTATTATTATTATTATTATGACAATTGTTTATTGAATATTGGTGTGATGGTAAAACCACTAAGGTGGCCATTTATGATTTATTTCTTTTATGGAAAATTGATTTGAGTTTGTGGTTGTTCATTTTTTGCTTTAGTTGAAAAGCGAGTTCGTCCAATCATCCTCGTGATTAAAAAGTGGGCCAGTTATCACAGAATCAACGATGCAAGTCGTGGAACCCTTAGTAGCTACACACTGGTGTTGATGGTTCTGCATTACCTCCAGAGTAAGTGGCGAAGTGTTCTGATTATCGTTTATATTGTTTGTTTGTCCAAAATTTCTCCTTCCTTGAGCTTATTTCTGTAATTCTTGCTTGTGTTGGTTATTTATACTGTCAGGGCTTGTTGTAGGACTGGTTATAATCTTCAACTCTCTGTCCCATTTAGCTCTTCCAGAACCTGTCATTCCTTGTCTTCAAAAAGATTATCCTGTAAGTAGTTCATACTAGTTAATATTCTTACACAATTTAATTTACCACAAGAGTGCAGAAGAAAAGCTTTGGTTGTGATACGAGCTAACACGATACTCATATCTCCACAGGAGTGTTTCAGCCCAGTAATGGATATCCATCTTGTACCAGATGGACCCAAGAATATTCCTTCATTTGTGTCAAAGAACCAGTCGTCTCTTGGAGATTTACTCCTCGGCTTCCTGAAATACTATGCCACAGTTTTCAGGTACTTATCAGCAATACTGTAATCATTTGTCAAGACTGCAAAGCTAGGGATGCACAGAAGGTTTGGCTGCTAATAAATGTTTGGCCAAAAATAGGTCTACAACAAGTTGTCAAATCTAACTCTTATCAAATTATCAAAGTGATGATAAAAATGAGAAATGGAGATTTAAAATGCCGTTTGTGTTCTTCACTCTTCTGCGTCACCCAGCACAAACAGTCTGAACACCAGCAGATCATCAGTAAACACACAAACACGGTGTGCTGCAGCTACGTACTATACAGTCTTCAGCTTGCATGCTTTTTAACGTTTTAACTGCTCTGATGAAATTCTTTTCTGGAAATTATGTCAATAGTAGTTAGTAGCATGGATGTTTCTTCTCTTTAAATGCCATACACTAAAGCAACTTGCGTGCTAATAGCGGCTTCTGCTTGAGAAATGTCAGACTGTTAGGCAGGAGTTCTAAAGCCACGTCCATGTGCTGTACATAGTATAAGTTTTTTCCTGTCATTATACTGGAATTGAGCTAAAGATGCCCTTGGGAAAGTGTGACATTTTCATAATTTTACAACTTTTAATATTAAATTTTATTTAGCAGGCTGTTTAATATATCTTTGAAGCATTATTAGCATTATACATTAATTCAAAAGCATAATTAAAAAGGCTAATTATGTTTACAATAACACTTTCAGTGCATAGTGCAGAGCGCATCCTCTTTCAGTGCAGAGTGCATCCTAAATTTGGGTTTCAGTTTAGGTCAAGAATTTTAAGTTTGGTGCAGGAAGCCACTCTATGTACTGCCATTGTTTTTGACTGCCCAAACCATAAATTGGTCACAGTTGTTTAGGTTCCTGTCATAAAAGCCTTAGTAAGACACAGCTGCACTTGGCAAGCCAGATACTGTAATGACAGGTTTTCACACCGCAGAAATGTTGTGTAACAGTACCTATAATGAATACAGTTTACTGTTTGTTTATAAACGTATTTCCTGATTGGACTGTCACTTCGTTTAGAAGGTATTTAAATTCACTTCCTGATTCCTTGCATGTGCCAGTTCAGAGACCCCACATGTGTACTTGTTGTGAAGTAGTTGAGGCTTAGGTTAGTGTTGGAGGAGCCTCTGGAGGGGGAAGTCCCCCTAAGAATGAGCAAGGCTTGTGCCCCACACAGCCTCCTACCCGGTTAGGCTCTCGTTTCATTTCAGTGTGTGATTGACAGCAGCAGATATGACTTTTGCCCTTTGGAAGCCCCTGGCTGGCCCTGTTTGAACAGCTTACTTTGACCCAATAAAAATCAACAATACATACAGCAGTATAACGACATGAACATGTGTGGCCATTGTGCTGTCAGATTCTAATGTCCTGCATCGCTGCTTGTGTTTCAGGTGGGACAAGTGTGTGATCTCTGTGCGTGAAGCAAAAGCTCTGCCCAAACCAAACTGCCGGGAGTGGAAAGACAAGTTCATCTGTGTGGAGGGTAACGTCCAGAATATGTTTACACTTCAGAAGTGTATTTTGTTTTCTGTTGAAAGTTGGTTGTCACTTTAATTGCTTATCTAAAGAGTCTAAAGAGCACAATGTTGACACCTGTTTTCCCCCCAGAACCGTTTGATGGATCAAACACAGCCAGAGCAGTTCATGAGAAAATGAAGTTTGACGCCATCAAAGCACAGTTTACAGAGGTATGTAACACAAGTGACCTCCTTCGTGGCATGTTCCCGACTTTTTTAACAGGATTGATATAAATTATTCTTTAAAAACTGTTGTGTTGCAAAGCCTTAAAAGGCTGAATCTCTTGTATTTGCCTTTTTCGTAGTCCTGGCAGGTGCTGCAAGTGAGGAAAGATCTGAACTACATTCTACCCATCAGAGAGACAAGACTGAAAAGATAACCCAAACCTGAGCTGCCTTCAAGGGACCTTTTGATAAGAACACAGAGAAAATAAACAGCAGTAATGAGCACTGGACACTGATACACCTCCTGTGACCTTTTATTGTGTTTACACAAATGTTCCTGCAACACTTTTGGTAATACTGGACCTGGGAAATTACTGTTTTGCCTGATTTGACCTCATTTACATGACCAAGAGGATCACGTTTAAGAGGCTAAAACTGTATTCTATGTATGTTTCACAGATGAAGTGGTGCATACTGCCACATATCTGCAGTACCTTACTTTCTCTTCTTGAGCTCATTAATCTATGCTGTCTTTCCACTGTTGTTCGATTTGTAGCAAGTACCTGCTTTTGTTTCTGAGCTCACTGAAACAGGATTTCTAGGATAAAGATTTACTTCTCAGAAGCCAGACAGTATAAAGTCACCTTTTGGCACATGCCCACTTTTATCTCAATTCTGTACATTTTTACTTGTTTTGTTCTGTCACTTCTTGTACATTTTGTACAGTCTTTTAATGTTTATTTAAAAGATTAAACTTTGGAACATTATCACTTTGCTTGCCTGGCACACATGCATCTTTAATCAAGACCCAGAGAAACATGACTCTAAAGACACCATTAAAAATGGATCTTAAGTCAACTGATAACACACATTGGAGCAGTTTAACACCAGTGCAGGGTTTATGCTCTTATAGATGGATGGAAATGTAACATTACTAGAAAGTGCATTGAACATTAAACGTAATGAACATTTTCACCCGTGTAATTACGCCTAGGTTTTATGGCGTGTACACAGTGTGGGGGGTCAGGGTGGAAAAGGAGGATGGTTGGAGGTGTAAAATTAGTACTTGGCAGGGCACCACAGCAGGCCTGCCCCTCACAACATGGAGGGCTCCACCACTATCATATTACACAGAACTGCGCTCTAATAGTTAATCATGTAAACTCTTCGGGTCATTATTTAAGGTTGATCTTAATATTAAGTGGGTCGTAAGAAAATGAGCAATTAAAATGTAAAACAGTTGTAAATAATGATAATGATAATGACCTCATAGACTCTCACATGGCGCGCCTTGAATTATTTGCCTTCTATTTCGAGCGCGCGCTGAGTAAGGCGAACCTCGCTCCACTCGCCATGCTCCAAACACGAAGCTGCGCTCCTTCAATTTAAACATCAAATAAGTTGGACTTATTTTGGACGTAATGGAGCCTCGCGCCGAACACGAGCGCCGCCGGACTGAGGCGGAGATTGAGCACTTGGAGGGAGACGGAACGGAGCTGGCCAGTTTTGACGAGGAAGAGATTGAGGAGCTGCACAACAGGTAGGTCACTTTTCCGTCGGTTCCAGTTAGCCGACACTGCTAGCTCAGCTGCTGGGGTTTGGGCTTTAACATGGGGCTGAGGTTGGGCTTCCCATTCGCCAGCTTCTTGTTCGAATTTTCCCGTTCCACCTTAAAAGGTGCCACAGAGACATTCTGGGGTCTCAGGTGCCAGAAGGTAACTGCTGCACCATATAAGGTGGAACGGAAATATTCAAATGAGAAGCTGACTCCAGCCTAGTAGTGTGTAGTTGGCTTCTTATTGGAGTCGTACGTTCCACCTTAAACGGTGCGGCTCATTCTGCCACCTGCTCAGGCGCCCGAATGTAACTGCTGCACCCATTTAAGGTGGAACGGAAATTCGAACAATAAGCTGACTTCAGTTTCGTAGCCTGTAGTTGGCTTCTCTTTCCAGCTTTTCCATTCCACCTTAAACGGTGCAGCACATTCTACCACCTGCTCAGGCGCCCGAACGTAACTGCTGCACCCATTTAAGGTGGAACGGAAAATTCGAACAAGAAATTCAGAAAGACTTATATATATTAAATATTACATTTTATAGTTGTTCTTCTTATTCCAAAGCGTCTTGTACTAGTTTGGGAGACTTTTATAGTTACATGTTCTTTTATAGGTTTTTTAAAACCTAAACTGGCCAAAGTATATCAGGCTATTTATACAGTGACTCATACTCAGAGTGTTTCTCTGTGACATTTTAAAACGTTTAACGTCAAAACAGCTTAACGTGTCATGATGTACTAAAGCAGCAACAACCCAGGAGCACCAAACCTCTCTCACTCACTACTGGTCATTAATACTCTCTACTGCTGAAAGGATGAACTTGTGATCCAGAAAAGAAGTAACAGTAACTGTATAATCCATGGAATGATTACTTTCTTTTTGGGTCACAGGTTCATCCTTTCAGCAGTAGAGAGTATTAATGACCAGTAGTAAGTGAGACAGGTCTGGTGTTCCTAGGTTGATGTTTTAGTACGTTACGCCACGTTAAGTGTTTTATAACGTCCTTGTTTCTATTCTTAAAATTCCTAAATGAATCCACCTTGTATTCCTACAGAGTGTATGTCTACTCAAAAACATCACAGCCTGTCATATGGTATCAGACATATTTTCATAATATTGGATAAACATCTTCTCAGAACACCAAGCCTGTGAAATCCAGGTTTTTGTTCTAGCCAGGAAGATCACCCTGCTGAAAATACCCATAGACACCATTAAGTGTGTTGATATCACAATGTAAAGGATCCTAATTGTTAATCAGGTGACTAATGGCTGATTCTAAATGCATTTGATGGTTTCCTAATTAACAATTAAGCCAATTCCCATTAGAAAGCAAAACCAAAGGAAAAATTCTTTTTCAGCAGGGCAGATGCAGAGCTACAGATCTTAGTGTCCCAACATCATTAGTTAAGCACTCATCACTCCTGTGCTCAGGTTGCTGTACTGTGCTCTCACTTAAAGGATCAACCTTTTTATGTCACATATAAATTGTTACCTGACTCACTCCATGAGACGGGTGCCAAATGGTCATGCTAATTTGAACATTTTTCATGTCAAGAAACCACATTTTTGTCCACCATAGTTACGTATTCCACTTGCCAGAAACAAATTTTCAAACCCCAGGAATATTTTTTAGTAATGCATTTATTTGTTTGTCTGTGCCAAATAACATGAGGGTTATTAAATTACATGACTTTTAATAATAAAACTTTTTTTCTGTCTATGTGTGACAAAGTGGACATGTTTAGCTTAACTGACCCTGTAAAGGTGTGACAGATTGGCAAGCAAAATTTAAGGATACGCTTAGATCAAATTAATGGTTTTATATTTAGTAAACATGCTTTGTGTTAATGTAGAAACATACACATTTAAATAGGCAAAGAGTTAATGTTAAACCAGCTTTTAATTTAGTTATAATTCAGATGTAACTTCAAGGCTGTAAGGAAGTGTTAAAATGTCTGTATCACTAAAATATATAAATAAAACCCCATTTTTTTTTGTTGTTAAAGTCCTCATGCATTATTTTAATGATGGACCTTGAACTGATATCTTTAACCTTGAAAAAAAACACTTTTTGTCACTTATAAACGGCATCAAATGTTGTGGCACTCTCTTCATGGAATGACTCACCTGTAAATGCTTTTCAGCTGTGAATAGACTGAATATCCCTGACTTTTAAACTCCTTTTCTAACAGTTTAAAGGAAGTTGTCCAAGACCCCTTCATAAAGCCCAGACTCCAGTGCCTGATGGTGGACGCTTCTTTTTCCATGGTGACAGTACAGAGTGAGGACAGTGGTATTGTATGGGAAACTGCATCCAGCAGGTGCTCAACCCCGTGGGCCTCAGAGGCCAGTTCTCCATCAGATGCTTACAGCATGGAAGGTTCTGGGACGCAGGGAAATATCATTATCATTATGGATGAAGACAAGATCAAGAGGAGAAAAAGAACAAGCAGTAGAGGGAAGCTGGGTGACCGATTTCGGAGACGATTATCAGGTGCAGCAATAGGAGAGGAGAGGCCTGCAATGATTGAGGTATCTGTGCCAAATATAAGGCCTGAAAATTCAGAGGATGGTCAGACAGCAGAGAGCAAGCCAGACAAGGATCAAGAACTTTTTAACCTGATTTCTGAAGGTTTTGAGATACTCAACATTGTTGTACCATCAAAACTTCCTACCGTGGACGAGGAGGACGTGACTGAAATGGCAGACAATTTGTCTTACTTGGAAGCCACACCAAAGATCAAATCAAAAAGCCCGCTTGAAAACACAGCTGCTGTCACCAGCCCTGAGGATGTAGTCATAGACATTCAAGAAACTAAAGATGAGGGTCAAAAGGACTTGTCTCAGGCCTCCCCTGATGAACGATCCAAGAAAGATGAAACCGATTTGGACTATTTAGAGAAATTCACTCTGTTAGATGAAAATGCACCAGGTGATGTGTCTGACAAACTTGAGTCTGTAGAAGTTATCCAACCAGAGGAACCTCAGCTGTCCCAACACAAGGAGAAAGTGGAGGACAAACTTGACGAAGATTCCTTTGTCATTATCAGTGATGTTGAAATTGCTGGTGAACATCTTGATGAAGTGTTTTATGGAGCAAGTTGTGATGAAGAACCTAAACTTTCGTCTCACCCCAAAGTGGATGAGGAACGTATAGAAAAAGAAAGCTCTAAAACGCTCAAAGAATGCGGTTCAACTTTGTTTGGCAGTCAGGAATGTATACTTACTCCTATTTATCTCCCCTCTGGGCCACCCAAGATCATAGATCAGGATCTCCTTGATGAGCCAAGAGCAATGTCTTTCCATTACTCAGACCTTTATGAAGATGCTGTTGGAGACAGGAAGAAGGATGATGATGTTTCGGATGTAGAAAGTGTAATTTCAGAAAAATCATTCAAGCGACGTTATTCTGACTCTGATGATGCAGATGGCTATCTAGAGAAGTTCACTTTGAAAGATGAAACTCCAGTAGTTAATGATGAACTGGAAGTAGATACTACAGAGAGTGACCGAATGATTTGGCCACAAAGTAAATTTGAAATGACTGGATGTTTAATTCGTGTGAAGGAAGAAGTTGAGTCCCAAGAAGAGGATGTTAGTGTCAGCCAGTCAAAGTTAGAGGACAAGCAAGATGCCACTGACAGGCAAATTCAACCTCAGTTTCCTTCAGAAGACTGTGAAGATTGTGATGAAGTGAAAACTGGGCATGTAACAGTACAGAGTGTTTCAGAGGCTTTAGATGTCAGTGAAGATTGTGGTACTAAAACCGGCTGTGCAATAGCAAAAGTCATCTCACATGATCACCTTTCTCAAAAAGCAGCGAAGGTACTAGAAACAGTAAATCAGAAAAAAGATATACCTCCATTGCCAAAAGATGGAAAACAAAGTGAAGTGGAATTAAGACATGAGAGCACTCATGCTCCTGGTGGTGTAGTGCAAGAAAAAATGGTTAAAATGAAGGATGAACCACAGAAACATGAAAAAACAAGCAGTGTAACCAATAAACCTGGCTTGGAAGTTGTGACTGATAGTACAGTTGAAATAATAGAAACCATTATTGTTACCAAGGAAAAAGCATCAGCCAGAAGTAAGACACCAGAAAAAGCTGAACCTCATTGTGTGATGACGGCAGATGTAATAGACACATCTATGTCGGCAACTCCAGTTAGTCCAGAAGAGCTGAAAAAGAAGGATGAAAAAGAATTAACAGGTGTAACCT